TAGGTGAAGGATTTCCTTCAGCATACTCATCTATTTTTGGCTGGATTCTGATGGGTAGAGCCCCATTGGACTCTGACATTTCGCATCAAGCTCTATCAATGGCCTGTACTGCTGATCTCAACTCCATTCTTTCAAGGTTTTGGGAGGTTGAGGAGGTTCCAGCACATCACGTACCGGATCCTGAGGATATGCTTTGCGAAAAACATTTTGTAGAGACTCATTCTCGCAATTCTAATGGTAGGTTTATAGTGCGCTTACCTTTCAAGTCGGGGCGCATAGCTCTGGGCTCTAGTTTTGATAATGCTCTTAAGCGATTTTATAACTTAGAACGGAAACTCAGCAAGGATAACCGTCTCAGAGAGCTCTACATAGAGTTCATGAGAGATTACCTTCAAGCAGGTCATATGCGTCTCGTTACTCCGGGCGATTCAGCAGATCGTTATTATATTCCACACCACGGTGTATTAAAGGAAAGTAGCAGCACCACTAAGCTTCGTGCTGTATTCGACGCTTCCGCGCCTACTAGCTCTGGTGTTTCACTTAATCAGCTTTTGATGGCTGGTCCAAAGTTACAACAGCAAGTCGAGGATATCATATTGCGCTTCAGAACTCATGCTATCGTGTTCACATGTGATATAAAGCAGATGTATCGTCAAGTTCAGCTACATGAAGATGATAGCAAGTATCACACCATCTTCTGGCGTGAGTCTCCTGATCAGCCTATCCAACAGTTTGAGCTGACTACAGTCACATATGGAGTCACTCCTGCAGCTTATTTGGCTATGCGCGTCATACACGAGCTAGCTGCACTTAATGCTGAGCAGTATCCTGCTGCAGCGGAGGCATTGAGGAATGATACCTTCGTTGATGACGTTATTACAGGTACCTCTGATGTTCCATCTGCCAAACGTCTTCAGCAGCAGTTGGTAGAAGTTCTAGCTGGGGGAGGTTTTCAGCTACGCAAATGGGCTAGCAACAATTCTGATATTCTGGCTGCATATCCTGATGATCACCTGGAGAAGCCTCTTCGCTTTGAAGAGTCCGGAGAAAGCATTTTTAAGGTATTAGGAGTGGCATGGAATTCGGATTCGGATAGTTTCGTTTATCAGGTTTCAAGTTTCAGTAGATGCAGGACTAAGCGAGAAATTCTATCTAACATAGCGCGCATCTATGACCCGTGCGGCTATTTAGCACCTGTTACGTTTTACGCTAAGGTTCTGATGCAACGTGTCTGTGCCTTACAAATATCCTGGGACAATCAACTTCCCGAAGAAATCATCATGCTGTGGGATTCATTCTCCGAAGCATTTAAGCACGTTAAGTTGCCACAAATACCACGATACATACTCAGTACACAACCATACGCATCAGAGATCATGGGATTCTGCGATGCATCCGAAAGCGGTTACGCCGCAGTTATCTATCTTCGTACTCAGCACTCTTCCGGCGAGGTCAGTGTTCATCTCCTTCGCGGTCGGTCAAGAGTTGCTCCTATGCGACAGAGGCTAACAATCCCAAAGCTCGAGCTTTGTGGTGCTTTGCTTCTGGCTCGTCTGATCGGTCACTATTTAGAACTATTTAATGGTAAAATTAGCATAAGTGGTGCCACTGCGTGGTGCGACTCCACCATCGTTTTAGCATGGTTGCGCACTTCACCGCACAAATTACAGACCTTTGAGGGAAATCGTGTTTCCCAGGTTCAGGGCTTAATACCATCCGCAAAATGGCGATACGTACCCTCCGCGTCCAATCCTGCCGATTGCGCGAGTAGAGGCGTTACTGCCGATGTCCTCGTAGGTCATCAGCTGTGGTGGTCTCCTTTTTGGTTAAAGGATGATCCATCCACCTGGCCTACGAATCCATGCGTCGATACCTCGGCATTGCCTGGTCTGAAACCAGAAGCTATTTCCTCATTGGCTGCAGTTGAAGTCAATCCCCTCGGACACTCACTTATCACAAAATATAGTTCCTTTTCTCGGTTACAACGTATCACTGCTTGGCTTCTGCGTTTTATTTCTAACGCACGATCTGCCAATTCTCGAACCAAGGGACCTCTTACGGTCCATGAACTCAGCAATTCTCTTTTAACACTTGTCAAGTTGGTGCAAGGTGAAGTCTTTGCCGACCACATCTCAGCCATCAATAAAGGTCGATCTGTTTCGGGCCCATTGCAGCGCCTTGATCCTTTTATTGATGCACTCGGTCTTCTTCGCGTTGGCGGAAGACTCCGGCACTCCAATTTGACTTACACTGTGAAATATCCACTGTTATTACCTAAGTCGCATCATCTTACTCATCTAATCATTGATTATCATCACCTGCTCCATCTTCATGCGGGTCCCTCTATACTCGTAAACATTCTTCGCCAGAAGTTTTGGATTTTGTCTGCTCGACGGGTTGTTCGAAACCGAGTGTTTCAGTGCCATCGCTGTTACAGGCTAAAGGCAAAACCTCTGGAACCTTTTATGGGTAATCTTCCACCCAGTCGAGTACGGCTGAGTCATCCATTCACCAGAGTAGGGGTCGACTTTGCAGGTCCATTCACCATAAAGGCTTCTTGTATGCGCAGGGCGAAGACACTCAAAGCTTATCTTTGTGTCTTCGTATGCCTTGCCGTGAAGGCTGTTCACTTTGAAGTCACTTCTGACTTAACAACCCAAGCCTTTTTGGCTTGTTTTCATAGATTTGTCGCGAGAAGAGGAATGCCTTCGGATGTTTACTCGGATTGCGGCAAAAACTTTCAAGGGGCTGCTAATTACTTGATGGCTCAGAGGTTGCTTTCGGATCAATTGGGTGTCACTTGGCACATGAATCCGCCTTACGCCCCACACATGGGTGGGCTTTGGGAGTCGACGGTCAAGTCGGCAAAACAGTTATTGTTGCGCACAGTTGGTGAGCAGGTTCTCACTTACGAAGAGTTGTCCACTGTGTTTGCTAGAGCCGAGGCTGTTTTGAACTCTAGACCGTTATGTCCTCTTACAGATGACGTGTCCAATCTTGATACTTTGACTCCTGGTCATTATCTTATCGGCCAGCCTTTGGTCAGCTTACCGGAAGAAGCATCTGATGATTCTCAAGTCCCATTACTCAAACGTTGGAAGCTAGTGCAACAAATCTCGCATCACTTTTGGCAAAGATGGCAGGGTGAATATCTTCACAATCTTCAACAGCGCGCTAAATGGTGCAAAACCATCCCCAATTTGATGTTGGGTGACCTGGTTTTAATTAAAGACGATCACACTACACCCCTTAGGTGGCGAAAGGGACGAGTATCTGCGCTCCATCCTGGAACAGATGGCGTGGTACGCGTTGTAGAGATAAGGACCAGTTCCGGGTCTTGTCTCAGATCGTTAACTAAGGTGTGTCCATTGCCAAAATGCGATACAAATTAATATAAAACAAATTTTATATACTTAATTACCTTTTTTTTAACTTAGCTTTATTATCAAACATATTTTTTATATACATTTTAAATTAACTTCATGGTACATCAGCGGTTTGTGCAATCAATCCTATAGGTAAATCAGCTTGGTTAAAAGTTTTTATTGGATTTTGCATTCTTACCCATGCGGAATTCAGCTTAATTCGGAAAATCAACTCGGTTAGTTTTGAAATTGAAATCAACTTTATTCGGAAAATCAACTCGTCAATTTTAGAATATGCTAAAGAGCTTAGCAGCTCTTTGGGGGGCGGTCATGTTCGGTTTCAAATATATTGAATGCGTATAACGTAACATTACATCCGCTTACCCACCTTTTCCTATCCCTTGGACGATTTTTTATTGTAATACGAGGGTAGACAGGCAGTATCTGTCAGCTGCCTGTTACTACTACGACGCCACAGCAACCGGACGACTTGAAAAGTCCCGATCCAAATAACATATAGTCAGCGCGTCGGTTGTTCAACGAGCACAAAGGAACATCATCAAATCACCAAGATTACGTGAAGGACAGTTAGGACTAGCTCAAGATAACATTCCTACAACATCCGGAAACTTACGAAAATACAGGCAGACCAGCGCTGCTCTAAAGGCTATCGGAGAAAACAAATCGTAAGTCCAAATCACTTTCTGTCCCGCACACTTATACTCAAAAAATATATACTCATATTTAATACGAATGGAATTCATAAAATATCATTTTATTGCTTGTAAAATTCTGCTCTAATTTATTATTATTTTATATAGACGGTTAACTTAATCGAGAAAAACGGAACGCATTCGGCAGTGAAAGAATATCTACGATAGATATAATATCATTGGAATGTCGAAAATCCACGAGAATAGCATTTTTTACCATCAGTAGATATTTTCAATAGATATCCCTACTTTCGATATTATCTCGAAGACGATATAATATCTACGCCGCGAGAGGCCTAAGAGAAGGCTGTATGATAATTAATGCTTTGATTTTTGCAAATGAACAACATAAAACTTCACATTTCATGTCAGGCTGACGACAACAAATTATTTGTATTTATTTTTACTTTTAAAAATGCTTTTTGTGAAGTGTTAATGAGATAAATGTGATGAAATATTCTTAGAAAATGTGAAATTGATGGCTGTTTAAATAATTGGCAACATCTTTTGTAGCTTCTCTTCAAATGTAGCAAGGTAATGACGTCGTAGGAGATCTCATAATTTTCAAGATAGTGACTTTATCAAAAGTTCATGAGCCCCTTTTCATAGAAATTATAAATATTGAGCCATTCTGCATTATATATTACAAAAAAGTACAATCATACAAAATTTTACCATGTCCTTTTACAACGGTGTATTCCTTGTATGCTTTAAAAATTAAATTTGAGACTGCTGTCAAATTCAGTTTAAAGTTTAGAAAATTATGTCGGAATTCCGCCCATTGTTTGTAATTCCGCCTTGGAACCATTGTCGAATCTAACGTTTTATTGTGACGCCACCTTGCTTAGACTACATAAAAATTTGGATTATTTTTAGGATTAGGTACACACAGGTAAATAAATACCAATTATTTTTGCTTCAGAGTATCCGCGTGCCTGATTTCGATGCTGCTGATAGTGTATGGCAGTTTCCGGTCGCTGAACATGGAACGAGAAGCGCGGGAAAGAGCCGAGAAGGAGCGCGAAGCATCCCTGTTGGGCGGGAAGCCGCTTACCACGTCCTCTTCTAACAATAGTTAGTATCCATTTTTTATATTTAGTTACGAATAAATTACTCCCTACACCCTACCTTATGTTAAGTGACTTGAAGTTTAGACGCGAAGATAAGTGGGGTAACTGGGGCAAACCATATTTCATAGCTATTATATTGTCACAAAAGCTCTCAAACCAAAATCGCGAAATTACTGGAAACAAATTTGACCGGAGCGCCGCCGGTCGCGACTTGGATAATCACGATAAAGGTCAAGTGGTGCGGTTCATTCTAATATGAGCTTTATGCAGTGCGGAAAGCAAGGGTGAAAGTGCGACGACATCTGCTCTTGTTGACAACTCATGCCCGTTACCTACGTATATGTAGGTACTACATGCTTGTTAACTCTCGATTAAACTGGACTTGTCTGGAATACGTCGATTGCTGTATATAAGCGCTTTCGGCGCCGCGCAGTGCACAGTTGAGTTTCAACAGTGATTTTGGAACGAATACAAAGACGATCAAAGTGCAAGTAAAGTGTTCAAGTGCAATTGTTTAATGACTTTTATAGTGTACAATGAGTGTAGTACTATGTGCTTAAGATAGAACTGTGTGTGTGAATAAAGAACTGTCAAGCGTGAACGGGCATAAAATTCCGACACGTAACAGTTCGTAGTTCTTCCTTAAACACACAATACTACACTATATAATTCTTTGAACAAACACTTTCTTTGCATTCTGTCGCCTTTTGTAATCGTTCCGAAATCGCTGTTAATAATAATAATATATTTATTTGGGACACAAAATAGGCATGTTACATTTAATGAATCCCTGCGGACTGTTGTAGTTAAAACGTGTTCCAGGCCGCAGTGACTTCCTCTGAAATCAGAAATCAGAAATCAATGTATCTTTATTCAAATTGGATGTATAGTACAACTCTTTTGAATCGTCCAAAAATTTTTTTTTCCCTACCACTCGTTATGGACATATTTTTTAGCTGCGGAGAAAAACGAGCGAAAAAAACTCCACAACATTAAAGGTCTAATGTAACAACATTTACAATTCATTATGTTGTTACAACGTCAATACAATTATGATTTATTTAATATAGAAAACCTGTTGGAATGATTGGAACAGTTCAAACCCAAGCATTTTTGTCTGTAATATAATCAGACACTTTGTAATAAGCTTTTTTAATAAGTGTTTTTTTTATAACATCTTTAAATTTATTTATGGCTAACTCTTGGATATTGCTTGGGACTTTATTGTATAAGCGAACACAAAGACCTTTAAATGAATTATTAATTTTGTGAAGCCTAGTAGCAGGTAAAGTTAGTTTATTTTTGTTTCTTGTATTAATTGTGTGAACATCACTGTTTTTAAGAAACAAATTAATATTTTTTCTTACAAGTAATAAATTTTCGTATATATATTGTGATGCGACCGTCATTATTCCAAATTCCTTAAACTTATCTCTTAATGATTCTTTAACTTTAAGATTATAAATTGATCGAATAGCTCTCTTCTGCAGCACAAAAATAGTTTGAATGTCGGCGGCATTTCCCCACAATAAAATTCCGTACGACATTACACTATGGAAATAACTAAAGTACACTAATCTGGCCGTATCTACATCCGTTAACTGGCGTATCTTCATTACGGCATATGCTGCAGAGCTAAGTCTATTTGACAATTTATCAATATGTGGGCCCCATTGAAGCTTAGAATCTAAAGTTATCCCTAAGAATACTGTGGTGTCTACAAGGCCCACATTCCTATCCTTTACATTCACACTGGTTTTTACCTGTTTTACATTAGGTAATACAAATTTCATACATTTCGTTTTTCCTTTATCTATCAATGGTTTACAAAAATATGCAGTTTAAACTCGACTGTTGTCGCCCTTTAATTAAATTGTACACTGCGCTGTGCTGGACGTCCTTATACTATACGCCAATCGACGCATTCCAGAAAAGTCCAGTTCAATTGAGGGTTCACTAGCACCGGCGAGTACGAAGTTTATATCTAGGTAGCAGTAGTCATTGCACTTTCACCCTTACGACGCATTGCTAAGGCTCATATTCGAATGGATCGCACCGCTCGGCCTTCATCCAGATCTTTCACGTCACGGCTCGCGACGTTCTGGATAAATTCGTTTCTAGAGGGTTCGTGACTATATTACAAAACTGTGAGGAGCTCCATTACGCTGGTGGTTAGAGCGTTCGGTCTACGATCGTAAAAAAAAATGCAACTTTCGCATTGGCGACCGAAAATTTTGAGTTCTTCCGTGCTTTGCAAAGCACATTAAACCGTTGGTTCCGACTGCATCTGCAATCGTCAGCACCCACCTACCAATATGGGTACACGCCCGCGTGGTAGGTCGAAACACCAGCTTGATATTTTGTGTATTGTAATAATCTATTTATTCCATCAATAAACAAGGCCTGTGCCTCACCAACGGGGACATTAAGGTTGATAATGATAACGACATTCGAAAGTATCTTTAACGCTTTTATGTCTAAACCACCGAGCTGATTTTGGTGAATTAAAAAAGCCGGCCAATTGTGAGAGGGACGCGTGCACGAAGGGTTGCGTACCATTATATATACAACAGTAGACTTAAACTTTAAAAAACGGCAATAAATCACGTCTTCTGTATGGGAGCCTCTTCTTATTCTTTTTATTTTAATTATTTATTTTGAAAGTAATATACAACTAAATAATTTGTGAAAATTTTCAAGCACTGTCTGTTGCTGTGAAAGTTTGTATGTTTAATACTAAATCAAGCAAAAACGGCTGAACGAATTTGGATGAAATTCTACACATAGACAGCTCTATAACCTGGAAAGACGCAAAGGATACTTTTTATCCCGGAAAAGTGTTAGTTTCCCGAGGGATTAAAAAAGTTAAAGTTAAACAGGACGATCGAGATCGGCCGCTAGTTCCAATAAAAATTCTGTTCACAAATTGACGAAATTCTCACTGATTGGTGTATGAGGATCCGTAACGATTTAAGATGACAATGCAGATTTATAGAACTAAGGATTCTATAAAATACAGTGCTTAAATTATTGTTCTACGACAAATATTGACGAAGTTATGGTCAAATTACTCTACGAATTTCACTGACCAGCCCGCGCGGTGGCTGTGACCTCACAGAGCTCTCGAGCTAGGTTTTGATTGTGTGTTGGTTTGATTGAACGCGCTTTTGTAAGAAAATACTGGTCCGGTTTGCAAAATTCTAATTGATTGATTAGTTTTGAGTTGATTTGTTGACTTCGAAATTATCCTCATTGGTGTTGATGTACAATTTCCAGATGTACAAACTCTGAACACGATGCAAGCTTTGTGCTTCCCGCTGGGGTCGTCGGTGGCGCTCCTCATCATGTTCTTCTTCTTCGACTCCATGCAGACGCTGGTCGCCATTTGTACTGCGAGTAAGTTTTATCCTCCCTAATGCCAATCCTAACATCTATTTAAATTTAAACAAAAGGGATTATGCATGATTGACAACAAATGTTAAAATTAGCCACTTTGCACGGGCATTTGAAACGCTCGCTATTTTAGAGTTTTTGGTGCGCGTCACAGTCCATAGCAACCTAGCAACAAAACAAAGAAGTCCACAGTTAGATAAGGAGGTTAGATATGCGAGCTCTACAGACTCGCACTAGGTCTCGTTGACTTTGACATATCCTGTGAACATGGCGCTTATTTGTTAATTTTTCGTAATTTATTTCTACGCATTGTAAATTAAAGATTTTTGATGTTCTTTTTTATTTGGCAACCATGTTTAATGCAATGTATACTCGCTAATAATTACTTTAAATCACGTTTCACCAAAAAAACAGATTAGTGCAGAATTTTGCGGCCGGATTTCGGACTATGTGTGATTCTATTCCCTATGATTGTATACGTATTGCATTAAAACTATTTTGGAAGAATGCTTAAGCTATTTCACGCACAATGGTCCAATGATTAGGACTAAGTGCGGAAACCGCCCTGAAAAACTAACTAAGCTATTTCACAATGCCAGCTAGTTTTCAATCATTTATTTGTATTCTATACTGCGTTTAAACGGATTTTTGCAGGATTTCCTATTCTGTACATTATTCACACAATATTGTATATTTTTGCTGAATGGGTTGCAACAATGAATAAAGAATGAACATCGTATTATGCAGTTATAGCGTGCGCGGCGTTGGCGTTTCTACTGACGCCTCTATGCCAGTACGTGGCGTCGTCAGCGGGCGTCGGCGCGGCGAGGAGCGCCGTCTGCGGGCGGTATTCTGCGCCAGAGCTGGCAGCCGCGCTACTGGCCGCCGCCATCGTCGCCGTGTGGGTTCTCACCGGGCACTGGCTGCTCATGGACGGTCAGTGACCCCGCCCCGCTCCTGTCCAGCACGCGTGCTGCCTGGGCCGAAGCTGGCGCGCTACTGGCGCCGCCCTCGTAGTCGTGTGGGTGCTCACCGGGCTTCCTTGCTCAGGAGACACCAGTTTTCTATTTGCAAGTTATTGTCTTATAAATAAAGCGTTCCACTAACTTTTTTCCATGCACAGAGTATTGCCATCATCATTAGCCTATTAATGTCCACATTGCTGGGGCACAGGCCTTCCTTGTGGATGGAATAGGGAGACTGGTCCGTGACCTACATCACGGGCCTTTTGCAGATTCACCAATCTGCAAAAGGCCCGCGTTGCTATCGACTGCAGATGCGGCCGGGATCACAACGGCTTAACGTGCCTTTCGAAGCACGGAGGAGCTTGAGATAGTAAATTTTTGGTCGCCCATACATCTCCTCAAAGATCTCCACAACTTGCGCCATCGAGCTCCTCAAAGATCTCACGACACAAATTATCTATTTATAGGATCCTAGCGTTTTAAATTCAGCTACTACTACTAGCCTGTATTCTAACCTTACGAATGTTTATTCCAGCTATGGGCATGGGACTATGTGTGACTTTCATCGCCCTGATCCGGCTGCCATCGTTGAAAGTGTCCACGCTACTGTTGACGGGCCTGCTGCTATACGACGTGTTCTGGGTGTTCTTCTCTTCCTACATATTTACTACAAACGTCATGGTCAAAGTCGCAACAAGGTTGGTTATGCCGCGTTGTCATGCTCAAAATCTGCTTTGACAAAATAGCTTTGTTTTAATATTTACTTTGACGTTACTTTATCGTGTAAAACAAATCACACAGCGCCGCTTTGATGTTGGCGTCCAACCAAAGTGTATTTAGACCGCGTACAACTTTTCAAGCTAACTTTGATGTGAAAGAACGAAACAAAATGTGCGTGTAATGTAAAACCGGCCAAGTGCGAGACAAACTCGCGCACGAGACCCACTGTAAGGCCAACCAATCAAAGATAACTTTCAGACAGGTGGCAATGTAACGCTCTATAGATTGTGATTTATCAGTTTAACTTCAGTAGTTTATATAATCTACCGAAAAATAATGCGTTAAATTGTAAGAAGTATGTTACGATTCACAATCTATCGAAAGTTTATGATCTCGCGAGATAGATCATAAACTAACAGTATTTACAATTTTACGGCGACCAATACATAAAATGAAAAAACAGCTTAAAATTATAATTATACAGGTTTAATTTTAAAACACCAACAACCTCTTAGGGGGTGATTCTACCCATCAACAGGAACAACTTTTATTATGGGACCAAAGCTGAAATCGCGGAAAAAAATCTACTGTTTCATACAAAAGTGCATCAGCTAATCGACCGAAATGTATGAACAGCTGCTTTTTTTTCGCGATTTCAACGTTGGTCCCATAATAAAAGTTGTTCCTGTTGATGGGTAGAATCACCCCCTAAGTGGTTGTTGGTGTTTTAAAATTAACCCTGTATAATGTAAAACACTTTGTCATACCAATGCGATGAATGTTTGTTTCAGACCCGCCGAGAACCCAATGAACGTAGTAGCCCGTAGACTTCAACTGGGCGGTGCAATGAGGGACGCGCCCAAACTGTCGCTGCCCGCCAAACTAGTGTTCCCTTCCATGCACCACCAGGGACACTTCTCTATGCTGGGTGAGTATACTCACCGAAATCATAGAGGTATAAGATTAGAATAGGGGAGATATAGACTCTACTACAAGTGGAAGTGTCCCTCTAATAGAGAGAGAACAAAGATGAGAGATCGCTAGCTTTCTCTCTCTAATCGAGCATGCGCATTGGCAACCGTAAGCATCTTACTATTTTGATGTGATGCTATTGGATGCCATACGTCACAAAAGAGAGAGATAGCTAGCGGTCTCTCACCTTCTTTCTCTTTCTACTAGACGGACACTTGTAGAGCCAGCCGCCTTTCCCACTCTATTCTTATACCTCTATGACCGAAATACGTTCATTCCTTTGATCATTGTCACCTTGTAAACACTACGATAAAAACAGGTCAGGTTTTATATAATAAGAGAGAGAAAAGAACTGTAATAAGACACTAACATTACTTTGAAAATGTCAAGATGGAGTCGTAATTTTTTAACTACAGTCATCACAAATAAAAGGCCCGTTTTGACATTTGTAACTAGTGATGTAACCATACGACGCGGTACACGATACTCACGATAAATCGATTTAAGCTTGTATGAGTATTTGATTAATTTGATTATAATTTATTGTAAAGTGCATTTGATTTAGGTTCTGATTAGAATATTTAACTAAAACTTGAATATTGTAGGTAATTTGAAATGATACAATGGTACGAAAGGTCAATTTGTCTTTAATTTAAAATTTTTAGTTATAATAATAAATTTAATAACAATAATAATTATTTATTGGAACCACTTTACATTTTCGTAACTACATACAAACGTTCACATTTACATATAATATTGGTAGGTAGTAGTAGGATGTCATGATCAATGAAGTTATTTTTGATCCAGGTCTCGGGGATATCGTGATGCCGGGCTTGCTGCTCTGCTTCGTGCTGCGTTACGACGCGTACAAGAAGGCAACGCTCGTGTGCCAGATGGGACAAGTGCCTGGGCCCAGGTCTATGGTAAGTTACCAATATTATAATTATATTTTTTACATAAAATAATTATACACAAATGTAGCTACAATTTTAAGCCGATTCGCGAGCGGAGTAAGTAAAGAGAATAGTCTATACATTTACGTGCCCGTGAACACATTTCGCTACATTCAGGTGTGCTCTAGCAAAAATTTTTGGATTTACTCGAGCGCGGCAGTATAATATAAGGGGGGTTACCGTTCACCTTGTGAAGTACTCCCACCATACCTGAGACCTCTATATAGGGCAGAACGTCCAGGGCAGCAAAAAAATAGTAAAAAAAAAACGCCCATGACTTTTGGTCTCATCCAAAAGTATTTTTTTAATAGAAAGTGGCCGCATTTTTTCGCTCGCATTGCGCGCACTTTCAGCCACAGTACCACTATGAATTGTATGTCAACGGTTTTGAATACGACGAGTTTTTCTACGTCTCGTTATAATAATCAACAACAACCAAATCAATAGTGTTTCCATTTCACGACAAGCTCAACCGAAGCTCTCGACGAAATGAATGGAATTCAACCAAATGTTGTGACAACTACTGGCCGCCAAGAGGCGGCGTAAGGCCTAGCACCACACTCGTCGAATTTTTTATTTTTATAATAACTTTATAACTAAATGATTAAATAAAATATAAAATTAATTTTCCTGTACATCAGAAGTAATTTTTTGACGTTTTTTGATCGATATTATACTAAAATGTTTTTATTTTATTGACTCTTCTTGCACCAACCTCGCTCGCCTCGCGAAATATACCTTGCCCTCATTAAGTTTAGGTCATGCGCCGCCAGTAGCTATTTGACAGTATGAAAAATAATGTACCAATTGTTTGCTGTGTTGAATGTATTTAATATGAATATTAGCAGCTATTTTTCCATTTTGAAAGAACAAATGAATAATAGCTTTTCTATAAAATTATTAAATAGAAATTATTTTTTGTTCCATGGTCACGTGACCGAAAACGCATGGGATTGGCCAAGACTAAAATGACGTCACACGCAGTAAACTTCCTGCCAAAGTGACATGACATTGTTGTATCGTTTGACATTTTAATGACAGCCGTGTGACGTCACACACACACTAGTGAGACGCCATAATGTCCAGAGAAACGTTTTCGAGGCAACTTTAAAATTAAATTTTTAATTCAGTTCTTTTACCGAATTATACAACAGTATTAATAATGGGACCGATTCTGGCGTTACATTCTCTAAAGCTAAACGCTAATTTTAATTTAGGTTTTGAGGATTGGTATTCTGAAATAGCGAATTAACGAAATTATGAACACAGTTGACAGGTGTAAACGAGCATTTAAATTGAATTCACAGATTATGTAAAAGCATTGAACCAGTAATTATCAGTTTACTCAAATTAGCAATAATTACTTCATCATCATCATCAGCCTTTTAATGTCTCCACTGCTGGGGCACAGGCCTTCCCTATGGATGGAATAGGGAGATGGGGCCATGACCCACCACGCGGGCCAAGTGCGGATTGGTGGGTGCTAACGACTGCAGATGCAGCCGGGACCAACGGCTTAACGTGCCTTCCGAAGCACGGAGGAGCTCGAGATAGTAAATTTTTGGTCACCCATCCAATGACCGACCACTGCGAAAGTTGCTTAACTTCAACGATCGCAGCCGAACGCGCTAACCACTTGCGCTATCAAGCTCCTCAATAATAATACTTAATAATTACTTATTATTCAGTGATTTTGACTTATTTCAGTAATTGTTGGTTGTTCTTCATCATCTTTAAAATATGGAAACTTAACATTAGTTTGTTATTTTACTTAATGAGAAATTGAGTCAATATTATAGCCTACTCTGTGGTACTCAGGGTTTCTAGATTGGGAATGTTTATCCTTATTTTGGGGAAAAATAAGAACTTGGACAAATTAAATCTGTGGGGAGAACTTTAGGTATCATATTTTTTCTTAGAAAATGCCAAGTATTTTGTTTTGGCAAAATGATGGGAAAAGCTACCACTTTTAAAATTAAATTAAAATATAGGTACTATCTACATTTTGGTATCTAACAAATCTATTAAGGATGATCAATGACGATGGACCGTGTCGAGTCCTGAGCCAAGCTTTGGTCGTAGCATGGTCACCGAGCCAATCTGTAATTTACAAAGAAGTGCCTCGACCGAGCAATTACGTAGTTACCGTTGCGCCGTGATGCAGTCTAATCATTCATATAAAGTAAATAGGTTAAGTGTACTCGTCCCAGAAAAAACGTTTCTTGTTTTGACTGAGGTATCACTTCGATTACCCGGCGGCACCGTGCTGTATTCATGCAACGGGCCGTGGCCGAGCCGAGGCGGGACCAAGCTTTTTCCGAACGTTGTTTCATTTGTTGCTCGGTTGTCAGTCGGTTACCGCCTTGTATAGCGTGAATGTGTCCATAATGTAAAATAAATTATTTAATATTAGTTAACTCGATGACGCAGACTGCTGCGATCGTTGAAGTTAAGCAACTTTCGCAGTGGTCGGTCATTGGATGGGTGTCCAAAAATCTTATATCTCGAGTTCCTCCGTGCTTCGGAAGGCACGTTAAGCTGTTGGTCCCGGTTGTATCTGCAGTCGTTAGCACCCGCCAATCCGCACTGGGCCTGCGTGGTGGGTCATGGCCCAATCTCCCTATTTTATCCATAGGGAAGGCCTGTGCCCCAACAATGGGGACATTAATAGCCTGATGATGATGATTAGTTAACTCTGCTATGGCCGACACGGTCTAACGTGAATCATCCTTGAAAATTTCTCGCATCGTAAATTCGTTATCCGGCGCATCTATCTAATAGTTACCTACTTACTCGTAGGTTAACCGTAATACCTATGGTTATAAATTTCGGTTTCGGTAAGAGGTTGTGATTATCCCCTGGCTGTTTTGTGAAGATTTTATTCTCATTTATTGTATAATCCGAGACCGTAACCTATTTTTATCATTTTTGTTTCTATCAGTTTTTGGCGAGATCGTCCCAAATCCCAATTATTCATTTGGTGAAGATGCCAAGTTTCGGATATATAAAAACAAACTTATCAATTACAAACAGTAGGTACTTATTTCGTGTTTGGTTATTTTAAGAAATATGGTAAGCTTATAAAAAGTTGTAAATGTAAAAACATTTGAAACAAATATTAAAAACTGCTTCATAGAAACAAAGGAAAAAGTAATACATTAAAGTCTAAAATACCTACATTTAAAGTCAAAATAACATTTGGATTGGAATTGGTGATTATGACTACCACTGACAACATACCTATTATCTTGTTAATTATTAGACTATGTACTTTAGATATAAGTAGGATCTGTAGGTACTACTTATAGAATTAGTACATAGATTTCTTACCTTTGTAGCTTGCTTTTATAAGAAGTGGATTTTTATTTATGTTATAAAAGATTTTACCTTAAATTTTAGAGAGGACCTACGGAGGCGTAGGTCCTTCTTAAATTTAGTGTGACATTTCTTTCTCTTTAGAGAAAATATGACATTTAGAACGCGTTTCAGAATACCATCTAAGCATCTAAATCTAAGTTAAATAACTTAGCGACGTCAATTTTAAATTTAGAGATAGTGTGTCATTACAGAATAACAAATTGAATTTGACAACTCTATATCTAATTTTAGTTAGTATTAGGTATAAGTTGGCACGCCAGAATTACCCAGAATTACCCATTATTCACTTGTTTACGGACTCCATAAACATTAGAAAACAGCGTGAGATCGCTTTCTAAAACTTGTCAAATACCCTATTGGTTGCTGCGTCTAGGGCCTGACTGAGTCACTAGTGGTCAGGTTTAGTGGCTCAATGCGGTTGTTCTTTAGGCTGATTGACGATGCGAACGTGTGTAATGTTGTATTGTATCGTACTGGTGCAGGGGTCGCGGCTGACATACTTCCACTGCTCGCTGCTGGGCTACTTCCTGGGGCTGCTGACGGCCACCGTGTCCGCGGAGGTGTTCAAGGCGGCGCAACCCGCGTTACTGTACCTCGTGCCCTTCACGCTGCTGCCCTTGCTGACCATGGCCTACGTCAAGGTAATATATATTCGGCCAGGGGCGTCTTAACCATATACGGCTCCCCGGGTGACACCAACAATGCGCTCCCTTTTAAAAAAAATGACAATCTAATTTTTCATTGTATAGACTGCTACAAAAATATGAAGAAAGAAATCATATGAACAAGCAAGCATCCGTATGTATGTATAATAGTTTGACCGAGTTGACTAGAAAAACGTAAAAAATCATTAAAACTGACTTTATGTACTTAAATAGTAAGTTTTAATTTTGTTTTTATACATTAATTTAAAGTAATATTTATAAAATTGTAGTCGGGTAAGGTAAGAAGGTAGGTAGGTAGTATCTACCACCAGATTCATTTAGATGTTTATCGCCCGGCCCGGCTGGCGCCCCCTAGGGCCCGGCGCCCGGGTGCGACCGCACCCAGCGGGAAATGGAAACCTCCTATGGGAAAGACGCCCGTGCGGCACATATTATGGTGACCGTCACCTATAAAGAACGAAGTCTGCGCAATAGTTTTTTTACTTACCAAAATGTCTACTGCGCAATTTTGCCTATGGTTTTACTAGAGAAGTTTACCGCAGCATATACTTTCTCCGCGTTTTTTTAGAATCCCAAAGAACAATCATAATTTTTTTTCGGGATATAAAGTAGCCATATGTCTCAATTCAGGACATGAACTATGTGCGTACCAAAGCAGCCCTTTGATTTCTGTCCAATTTTGTACCTTGGTACAAATTATCTTAAAATACGTATAAAATTATATGGATAAATATTCAATATAAATTAGTAAAAAATCCTGCATACATATATACACACAAATACACATATACACACAAATACAAATCCGTAATTGGCATTAAGGTAAACTATATTGTAAAACCTGTATTATATTAAGAAACTTCTGTGGATTTTGGTCTAGAATTAAATAAATAAATAATATCTATGAATTTTTCACACAGGGTGATTTGAGGAGGATGTGGAGTGAGCCATTCATAGCGCCACCTAACGGGAAAAATGGCGCAGACTTCGACGTGTGACGCGCCACTCACAAACTACAAATACACATTACAAGGATAAAGATGGAAAGAAGCTCTCAAGGTTGAACCCACTCAAGATAAACAATAGGGATGATACGGGATAAATTAAACGAAATTCTACATATAGGCAGTCCTCGACTTACGTCGTTTCAAGTTACGTCGAACAATGTTTTGACACTATTCCTCAAGCATATGTCAATTGTTTCGATTTCCGGCATAGGAGAATTCACCAATGCCCGACTCGTCTTACGTTGTTTCGAGTCACGTCGCGTATTTCGAGAACCTACATGCCGTAAGTACGAGGACTGCCTGTATTTAGTCCCTCAAGTTTGATTCTCGAGAAATAATGGACACATATTTTTTCTTTTCTTAATCAACCTAAAATGACATAGATAAAGCGTCCAAGTTTGAGAGTGGGGCTCGTGACGTCACTCTTAAGTAAACATTGTACGAAGACGTGACGTCATGTGTCATTTATAAACAATATGTCTGTGTAATGTTTTGATTGTGTGAGTTATGAAAAAGTACTTGTCCAATACTTTTTGTAAATCAACCTGATAAACTAAGAAAAAAAAAACGTTTGCCACTATCTCTATTATCGGCTACGTAATCCAATTGGACGACATATGGGTTTTCGTACATTCAGGGTTCTAATGGTAGACACATACATGCGAATTTCACTCCTATTGCTATCGTGATTGGTTATTTGAGGGTTAGGTTAGTGTCACATACGCTTCTCTTAAATCCAGTTTAAATAATCAATCTCCAGTAAAAAGGCTGGGTCTAGTGCTGTTTCTTTGTAACAGTTATTATAATCTAAATAATAAAAATGTCTTGGCAACACAGCTGTAATAAGCTCATCTCCCACAGGAGTTTCATTCTTGAATCTCAAATGCCTATAAAACATCTGTGTATAAGAGTTTTTGTTTACGGAATACATTGACTTATTAGCATATGAGCTTGATGCCCGGGGACACCCTCATACAATGTCTGTTGAGTTATGTGGTCTGTACTTTATAACCAGTTTAGTTCCAAATATATTTCATTTTAAATGTTTTATATGAATAAGTCTATATTTATGCAACATCCTGAGTTTGCTATAATGAAGCATTTTTATTAAAATGTATCGAGGACTGATGTTGACAGATAAAGTAATAAGAATTTCTTGTATTGCTAATGAGCAATTTAAGACCATAAAACCTGTGCTGATCTTATATAGTTACTATGATTAGGGTTTGCATTGCTTATAAGAACTGCTGGGAAGATTTATGACTAAAAATAATGAGGCAAATGTTTAACAATGAAGCAGAATTATTCGCATTCTGGGCTCTAAGGCTTGTATTACAGAATGACAATTAAGTGTTGATCTTTACTTGAGTACAGTTAGAAAGGGATGTCGCTATGTGCTATATATAGCGACATCCTTTTCTAACTGTACTCGACTACTTTGAGCAGGCCCATTCGCCCAAATTGTTTCTCAGAAGAATGTAGTTGGTTCTCAGAAAAAATCTGACTGTGAACGTCTTAAGTGTAAATACTAGCTGCTTCTTGACGATTACATGCGGGGTAGGAGCAGCCTGATTTAAAGGACCTTTTTATGTTTAGTGATCTCCAACATGGGTATGATTTTACCACGTTTGTTTTGCATAGTTACACCACCACCAACTCCAGATCATATTTGTTCATAGGACATAACCGCAAGGATTGTCCATTTGAAATTGTTGGATTGAGACTCGTACTACAGAATGGCAACTAACTGTACTCAAGAAGAAGCATACCCATGTTGGAGATCACTAAACATAAAAAGGTCTTTTAAAGCAGGCTACTGCTACACCGCATGTAATCGTCAAGAAGCAGTTAGATATTTACACTTACGACGTTCACAATCAGATTTTTTCTGAGCACCAACTACATTCTTCTGAGAAACAAACTGGGCGAATTGGCCTGCTCAAATGTTGTTTTTATTATTTTATACCGGCCACAAAAGCGGCGCAGTGCATTATATAAATCTTTAAAAATATTGTATCCTTTTTTTGTAACTAACAATTTTGTTCTTATCTGCAATTTTTTATTTATTTCCATTGTCATAACAAGAATTTAAATGGTAATTAAACTTTATGCAAATATGTTAAGAGTGCACAGGGCAACAAACCTCTATGGATTCTATATACACACCATACTGCCCGACCAGTAAACCTGGTTACATACAATGTAAATAATGCAGTATTTACTCTACCCAATTTTGTGGGACCCTTAGTTAGGGAATAGAGGACCCGATCTAGGCGATCGGCGCGATGTAATAATTACTTACCCTAGCTAGGGGCCACGCCCAGCTTTTCGATTGAGCCCTTAAAATTGAGTAGTGTAAATCCCGTTTAAACCACGCACAGAAAACGACTCATTTTACGCGCAATGTGTGCGTGACTCCAAATGTCAGATAGTTTGAAAGCAGTTAATGTGTGCGTGTGTAGCGACGAGCGTATCTACCATATGCAGTAGATATTTTTTGGGGCGTTTCTGTGCAGTTAATACGGTATCTAGGCTCGTAAATAATTAGTCTGGTTTATATTTTAGCAGCAGATAGTTTGCGAGGTATTCGCTTAGCGCATATATCCATCTTTACGCCGACTATCATTACTATCGAGCAATTGTTTGCTGACAATGTTAGCAACATTACAGCTCTTCCAAAACCGATCAGCTTTGCCGCCAGTTTACTGTGTAGAAGCTATAGAGTTACAAATTGGACGACAGTGCTATGATAAAATTTTCCGCTAATTCTGTATTTTATAATATATTTGCCTATAATGTTTGATAACATCAAATCTTGTATTGTCAATCGCATTTCTTTTTATAGTAGCAGAATGTAACGGAAATGAAATTCTATTATATTGATAGAATATTCGTAATAAAATGTCATGATTTAATGCCAAAATACGAATATCTATCATCTTGTATCAAACATACTAATCAAATTTTTGAAAAATAAAGTAATTATTTAATTTTTTATTTACTACTCTGTTGTGCTTTTATTCAACATGTATGCTGTCATTAAATAATTTAATATGATGTAAAAATCATTTCACTACTAATGTGTACATAATAAGTTTCTGTAATTGGCCTAATGATTGTATCTATATCTTATTGTATTGAATGAACAAAAAGCGCTGTAGAAACTTTTTATAGATAAATAAACAATTTTATGTCTTTCAACACACTACAGTGCTGCTCGCCTGTGACGTTTGTGGCTTGAGAGAGCACTTTGCATTAACAACTTTCATTTTGAAATACTCATTTAAGCATTTTCTTTTAATATACCCATTGTGATTCTCTGTATGTTTGAGGTAGATTTGGCTAATTAGAAAGATGTGGTGCCAAACAAGCAGCACTGGATTCAAAACCCGAGATCTCTGTGTCTTCGTGTACCTTATGTGTAAATGGAACCTTTTAATTATAAATAAATGACGCCCTAGGATAGACTATCAGTGAATCTCATTTCAGTTTATGAACTTTACTATTTTTATACTTAACTGAATTAAAAATATGTATGACGATTCATCCATTTAAGTGTAATTTGAATTTTTTATGCATGAACTTACTCAATATAGTAATACTTTGTTGTCACTGCCTTAGACTGATGTTTTCAATGAAGATTTTTTCTAAAATATGTTAAATGGAGTATTATAGTATAGACAAATATTAGTCTAAAAAACTAAGATAAGAATTAACTATTGTTGTTATTATTATAACAACAAGATTGTTGTTGTAAATTATTTGGATGAAATAAAAGTGTTCAAAGCACATCAAAATGTTGGAGTCACATTGATTCTGTTTGAGTTTAGTCAGATAGAATGATGTATACATACTTATGAAACTGTGCAAACTAGTGTTATTATATTCTGTTTAAATTACTTCACAAAATTTACTTAATAATATACAGTAAATTGTGATATTGAACAGTTAACCCAACAATTAGATTTTGATTTATTTATAATTATGCTCTGAATAGTAAAAAGTAATACAATAAAGTGTGCTCCCAACATTAAAAACTAAAGTATGCTTGGTATGTGTGATTATAATTTTTTGTATAACTTTTATAACAATTTTAGATTTTATTTAATTAGCTTATATTTTTTACTCATTATTTTGTTTGTAGAGCCTGTGTAAGTTATAAATACAATTAGTGTTGTGCAGTATTTCTAAACACAAGTGATATTATTTTATTGAGGCTTCATATTTGAGAATGATAACATAAAAGTGTGTATTCCCTGTTGAACTGTAGCTTTGAAAAATATACTGCAGTTGCAATTTTTGTGGCAATTGAATTTTAATGTTGTATGTCTTTAACCTTTTAAAATTGTAAACCAATAAACGATTTTGCATATTGTTTAGATATTGATCAGTCCCATACCAGTGTCTCCATATGTTGTTGTAAATACATAAGAATAATTTAGTTAAGGTCAATGTTAATAATAAATACATTACCCATTTCAAAAGTATGTAAATATTGCCCACACTAAACTTGATCATCACCTGTATACAAAATGGTAAAATGCATTTAATATTTTTATATATGTATAAATGTTCATACCTAATAAAAATATTAGATGAAGTTGATATTGTATTTTCAATCCTATACAAGATCTTATGTTGTATTGTATTTATTTATTGTATTTCAAAAAGGAAAGAGTCTTGATAGTTAATATTATTTATTAGCTTCAATTTCTTTATTGGTATCCCTTTTCTGTATAAATCTTAATTGCTTCTTCTTCATTCTCTTCAGTTTAGCTGAATTTGTAATTACTTGCACTATTTCTGATTTTTTCTTATTTTCCTCTGTTTTTTTAATATTTTCTCGCCGCCGTTCCTTGCGCTCTAATTCCTTTTGTTTTAACTGTTCTTTGATCTGTTTAGATAATTCCTTAGTTCTTTTTAACTCTAAGCGTAAGGCAGCCTTTTTCTGAAAGTCGAGTCTTAAACCCTTTGTTTTATTTATGGCTGAAAACCTAAATTTAAGAAGTTTTTATTAGAAATAAATTAAATAAGAATATGTCCAAGTAAATATTGATACTTGTAATTAATGCCATGTTACGCAGTTATAAACTTTATCAATCAGGTACTAAGAGTTAAGTTGTGAAACAGAATGATGGGCATTCTGTTATTATTGAATCCTTTAAAATACCTGATTTATGATGAAAAGGGTAGGTTTTTTCAATTGTTATATATTATATATTTTTACCGTGACCCACCTCGCAGGCCCAGGGCGAATTGGTGGGTGCTAGGGGGCCATCCATAAATAACGTCACACGTTAAGGGGGATGGAGGAGGTTGACGAAGTGTGACATCGTGTGACAAGGGGGCGGGAGGGGTCCTAAATTTCGTGACGTTACATTTCAAAATCTATTATAATCTTAGTGTTGAAAACAAATAGTGAGCATTCTCACAGGACACGGACACTTTAAACATATTTTTAAAATAGGTGTCTCGGTCAGTCCTCTGTGCAGAGCCTGCATGGAGAAAGAGGAGACTGGGCAGCCTGCAGACGCTACTCGAGGCCTGCGGAGACAGCAAGAGAATGGGAGTCGGCATGGCATGGCTCTCACGCAAATTAGGCACCTGGTGTCGAGTTGCGGGAAACACCCACCATTCAGAAGAAGTGTTGAAAAATGAACTTCAATTTTTGAAAACCACTGTTTTCATTCAATAATTTCTAAATCAATATTTTTTGTACATTTGGGCCAATTTGAGCAATCTTCAAATTGGCCCAAATGTACAAAAAATATTGACAAATACGGTAATTCTTGGCGTAATTTATACTTTATTATACAGTCATTAGATTTTAACGGACACCTTTGTATAATATATTCATTTTAAAAAGGGCTTTTAATTTTACCAGTTTGGAAAACATATGAATCATTTTTAATGGTTATGGGTGTAGTAACATTAAGCCAAAGATTGATCAAAGTTGTTTATACAACATCACAACAAATCTATTTTGTAAAGATCGATAAAATAAAACATTATTTTTATTACAATGTGGTATTAATAGCTACAAATATATTTTATCATTTTTACTACACGCAAATGTGCTAAGACAAATATTATAGATGGTAAGCGACATCATAAAGTCTATTGCCATACATTTTTTGCCAAACACCTCCATAAACACATATAAGGTGTGATACACTAAAATTAAAATATGGTTATAATATAAACATAACAAAAATAATAAGCTTTCTTTAGTTAACAAGTTTTCAAAATTCTCTCTAATCTGTGGCTCATTCACAAATAACACACAGTTTCTTTCACAGAGTACCTACCTTATTATAACCAGAAATGCATAGATGATACCTGATTTTAAAAGTACTCTTATGCATTAACTTTAAAAACAGGCAACTATCTACTAATCTACATGCTTTATATACCTGAATCTAATACATAATTTCCGTACTTGGGTTTGATTTCCCTAGTTTGCTATATAACTTATTTGTTTTTAATTATTTTAATAGCTATGTACCTATTTGCAAACATTACCTCAAAATCATTCAGTGTATGTGGTTTATAGAAGTTCTCAGGGGTGTCCGTCAATAATATTCGTTTCTACAGTAATTTATATATAATTTCGAATCTAGGAAACAATATTTTATGATTATTGGTCTTTAGGCCAAACATGAATGGAAGCTGAGCAATCTCCTTTGCAAAATATGTGACGTCAGACTAGGGAGGGGGGGGAGTCCTTCAAATGTGACCAGCTGTGACAAGGACAGGGGGAGGGGCAAAAAATCATGAAATTTGTGACATAATATATGGATGACCCCTAGCGACTGCAGTTGCAGCCAGGACCAATAGCTTAATGTGCCTCCCAAAGCACAGAAACTCTTCTTTAAGGATAGTATACTGATAGGACGATCTCAGCTGATTGCACTAACCACTTGCGCCATCGAGTTATTCCAACTTATCTGTACTACCTTCTAATTGTTATAGAATACGTATGGTCATTACTATCAACGAAATTACCTTCAACATGAGATTTAGTTGTATAAGAAGTTAAAGAAAGGCCAGGATCAGAACTACTCTAAACTGACATGCATGTATCAAAAATATAATGAGAGTGAATGAGGCAACAAACTTTTTGTTAAGAAGGATCATAGAAATACCGAAAATCAAGTGTGCATGTAAGAAGATTAAATGGTAATCCATTGTATTATTGTAGCAGTTTCCCAAAGAATGAGAACCTTCAGCAACAATGGCTTGAAGTAGTTCCATTTGATAACAAATATTGATGTTGTAGTTTAATTTGCAGCCATTATTTCAACATGTTATACGGTCATAACCGTACTTGAACTGAACTTTTAAACAACTTTTAAAATATTTATACTATAGTATTTGTTCAGTTCTTGCCTAACATTCTAAATGTTGGGCAATCCAAGCATGAGTAAATATTTACTAATTTTGTTTGCATCATGCTCTAGTGTAGAACGTATTATACTACTCTTTGGTAAAACATTTTTTCTCGCAATGCCTGCAGTACCACGTAAGTTTTAAGTGTTAAACTAATTTATGAAATGTATGAGTCTGCTGCCTGGTCCGCGTGGAAATTTTTCTATTTCTTTAGACTTTAACGTACCTTTCTTTTTTCGACTTCCAAAACCTCCCAGATTTCGGTTTTCCGCGCATTTCTGTTAAAGTTACCTGAGTGTTATTCTCATCAAGTTCTTCGTCATTTTGATCTCGAGTCTTTTTTATATTAGCTATTATTGAAAGTACATCGTCGTCATTATTTTTAGTCATTTTTTCAAATGCAATATTTTTCTGTCCAGAAAATGAAAAATATCACAAAATAGCAAACGAAAATAAACGTGGACTTGACGCTTGACGTTTTGTTTTTTATTTTTTTTAAGTTCTACCTTTTCTAGAAAGGCAAAGGGAACAATGCCCATACAGCCTGGTTTTTAGCTTTTTATCTTAGTGAGAATAAGAAATTAAGTGTAAGCAAATAAAATGTTTTTTTATTCATACAGTTGTAGTAATGACTTGCAATGTGTTTTGTTAATACCGAGAAATCAGGGTACAGAAAAATTTACATAGATGGATCGAAAACAGAAGAAATGACTAAGGCAGCTTATTTCAATTCTGAAGCTTGGAAGATGTTTCAGTCTGGATAAGAATGCTTCAATATTTACAGCAGAGGCATATGGAATATATACCGCTTTGCAGTACATTAGGTGACTGACAAGTGCTGGAAAAATATTAACTGTGTCTGATTCACTAAGAGTCCTTACTTGTCTGCAGAATGTTAAAGTTTCATATAAAAATAATGTGTACATTACCAGAATCGGAGAGCTACCGTTGAGAATGAAAGACAAAGTAATTGAGTTCATCTGGGTACCGTCACGTTCAGAAATAACGGGAAATGAAATTGTTGATTATTTGATAAGATTCATCCAAATTTTGACAATTCGCAATATTACATTCCTCCAGTACTTTACAGATTACGGCTCAGTGTTAAAGTCTCGAATGTTTGTAAATTGGAATTAAGACTGGGAAGCTAGCAAAGCTTATAAGGGAAATTAGTATGCTTAAATTCTAAAAAGAATTCCTCGAAGAAGGAAATACCAAGGGGTATTTTAAATTGAAGTCACCGAGCAGGAAATTTAGCACAACGATGAATAGACTCAGAGTTGGTTCACAGCAAATTTGCATCTCATTTGAATAGAATCAAAATGGCATCTTCAGACAAGTCTGAATATTGTAAAATAGCTGTAGCCGTGTTGGATCATATGATCTTACAGAGTCCTGCCTTTATTATTCAAGTTTTAGATGGCCTACGAGATGATCTACAAACATGAAGACATTCCTCGCCTCTTGCCATCTCTCCTAGGAAATAAAGATACATCTCTACATCTACATAACCTCAGCGTTTGAGGAGAAAGTCTTCATTCAACATACATAATAAAGAAGAAATTACATATGTCCAGGCTGTATGGATTTATATCCAAAGCCGTAAAAAATGTATATTTAAAAAAAAGAGACCTTTCCGTAGAGATGGGCGTTTTTAGATATTTGTGAAATCGATGCGCATCGGTATCAGATAAGTTGTATCGGATGTGCGCATCGATGCCACGTGAATGTCAGTATCGTAGTATCACAGGATACGATGCGATTATGAATTACGACAGATGCGTGTTTTGTACGGGCGTGTCTCTTCGATTCCATGAATCATGACTTGAAAATGTAATCGCAGCCATTTATTTACTTATCGGTATGATAACTGAAAATACTAAATTCTAGCAAAATTATTACATAAAAAATTGCACTCAGAGCGTAGGATTACGCAGTCCAGTGGCACAATTTTTTCTGCCGGTGGCAAAAATTTGAACTACAATTTATCCATAGCATTTTGACATATTTGTTCGCCACTTGCGACATCTACGTATAGTTACAACGTTGACAAAAACTGGATGGCATCGGCATCCAATAACGGCATCCAGTCGCATCGGCACGCGTATCCAAACCTGGCAATGGCATCGTTATCGCGCATCGTTATTCTAAAAACAATGCCCACCCCTACCTTTTCGTGATTCAATTAGGGACACGATATCGAATAGAAAGTATCGATACTGTACTCATGAGTAGTATCAGTAAAAAAGTATCGTACTCGTCAAAGTATCGAAACAAAAGTATCGATACTTCAAAGTATCGAGTACATTTCATAGGGCCTTATCGGGCCTCTGTTGGCCTGATGAGAAACATTGTACCCACTTATGTTAACTTGAATCTGATACGTAGTTAACGGCTGCCATGGGTATGCTTCACTCAAGATTATAATTATAGAAGAGGTTACGTCCGTCTTTTTTTCAGGTGGTTTCAAATAGGTATACACAGCACAGACAGAATAATAGTGTTACACTTGAATAAACCAAATATAGTCAAGCGAAAAGCACAATAAACGACGAATCAATCACAGTTCCTAACAATATGGTCGCTAAATAAATAACTATGAAACGAAACAAAGCGCAAAATAAACACAGTCACAGATTGGAAAGAATTTGAATATGTCAGTTACTGACTTTATAACAACGCAAGAGGGCATTTGACAGTATTAAAAATAAAGTGCCAAAATACCGAAAAAGATATAAGTTTTCTCATCTATTGTCACGTGACCCAAAACGCTAGGGATTGGCGGAGCCTAAAATGACGTCACGCGCAAGTAAACTTCCGGTCAAATTGACATTACATTGTATCGTTTGACGTTTTAATAACAGTCGTGTGACGTCACACACTAGTAAGACGCCATATTGTCCAGAGCAACGTTTTCGCGGCAACTTGAAAATGGAGTTTTTGATTTGGTTATTTTCACTAAAATACACGATAGAATGATGAATATCCGCTTTTTACGGACTCCATAAACATTAGTCAATAACGTGAGATCGTTGCCTAAAACTTGTCAAATACCCTATGGAACGTTTTAGAAGGTTTACTATGATTTAACAAGATGGCGTTGCCATCAATATGAGGCGCTTATCCAAATTTTTAAAGGTATCGATACTTGCCAAAAAGTACTCATTTAGTAAAAGTATCGAATACAAAGTATCGAGTACAAAAGTATCGGTATCGAAAGGAAAAGTACTCGATACCACAAAGTATCGATACTTTTTTCGTGTCCCTAGATTCAATTCAACTTTACTGTGTGATTCATCTGCTTTTTTAAATTAACTTTGCAATAAAAAGAATTTGAGATTATAAAAATAACTACGTTTTAGTTATTTACTTGAGAATAGCAGCGTTAAAAAAAACCACTTAACTATTACCATTGCTATTCGGGCGTTGGTATCTTTACAAGGATATAGATTACTATCCATCACACATCATTTTCGGAAAACAATGCCGGTAAAACGAGTTCTCTTTCAAACTTTCTTTTTGTTATTTTTTCAAGTACAAAATTTAACATAATATTGTCTTAATTCCAGGCGTATCATTCAACGTTAACGGAATATACGCAGTCAGTGGGGAACCTGGCTCTTCTCCCCATTCGCACAACATTTAGAGGTCCTGCCCCAATCAGCCCTAAGATAGAACTAGATATAATTGATGAAGCTCTTAATTACTTCAAAGCCAATGTTTTCTTTAGATTTTATGAGATCAAAGTAAGTGTTTCACACAAATATTTTCTCTTCTAATATTAAACTGTAACTTGTATGACATAATAATTTATGCAACTGTTTTAGTCTGATGCAGATCGGGTGCTTATATATCTTACTCTGTACGTTTCGGAATGTCTGAAACGTCTACAGAAATGTTCAAATAAAAATCAGGGACAACAAGAAATGTACATGTTAGCAATATCTAAATTTGATATTCCTGGGGAGGGTGGATTTCCTTTGAACTCTGTTTATGCAAAACCGACTAGCACACAGGAAGCTGGTGTGTAAATTTACATTTGACAAATTGTACTTTAATCAAAATGAAGCATGTGAAATTTATATTTGTTTTACCTGCCTTTTTAGATTTGATGAGACAGTATCTACAGCAATTGAGACATGAAACAGGCACAAGAGTTTGTGAAAAGGTGATAATAATATATATAATTCATTTAATTAATAATCTAATCATAATAAGTAAAGTTGATAAATATGATCACCTGGAATATTCTATCATATATTTAATATGCTACATTTACATATTTTCAGATATTTATCTAGTAGTGGTAGAGTTAAAAAAATGTTAATGTTTACAGGTATTTGCGACGGAAGATGGCAAGCCAAGTAAATGGTGGTTGTGCTTTGCTAAGAGGAAATTTATGGATAAATCACTATCGGGTCCAGGACAATAATGAGTATTTTCCTTAATAGCATGTAACAATATATTCCATGGCATTTATTCTGTACATAAATTTGTACAAATTTATAAGTATTTCACAAAAATGTTATTGCTTGATTTCTTAAATTATTAACTGTATTACTTTTATACCTTAAGATTTTATGTAGACCAATAAATTATCATCAGAATATTTTTTTTGTTATGAACACTTTCTATATATTGCAGTATGACAGTTAAATCTGTAATATAGTTAAATCCCAAGTATATAATTATATAACGTAACATAGTTATACAAAAGTAATATGTAATCTAGTAATATGTTCTCTCACTAAACTAATCTGGTTTAATAAACAATGAAAAGCGCTTCATACTTTTTCAGTTATGTATGTATGTTAAAATAAACTATAAACATGGCCAACTCTAAGGCATACTTTGTTTATTTTTTCGGCTTTTTAGTGCAGTAAATAAAAGCGAGTATTTAGTTTTTTTAAAATTATTTATTCTATGTCGGAAATTAGAAAACATACCCTACAGCACTCTGTAAGGTTTAGTCAGACTCTTACTGACTAAAAGCCTCATCTGAAACGATCATCCCCCCTGAGAAAGGGATGTCGCGGTATAACCGCCCGATCTTTTCAAGTTCATTTATATACTTTTTATAAAAACGTTACGTTGGCGCGACTCAGAAGCCATTGCCGTTGGTACTCGCGGTAGCGTTGTGGAACTTCTTCTTGCAACGAGTGTTTCCGCAACTCTACGTCCTTATGGCGCCTGTTTTGCATCAGAAGGGTGTGTAGCCGGAATCACTCCAGCCAGCCCAGCTCCGTCAGGAACGCCACAAGGGCCTTCACATTGGTGACTGCCTCTTGGAGAGTTTAACGTTGTGGAACTCGTGATATTTACTTGTGGTATTTTAATAGTTTTTTTATATTTTTTGTTGTAATGAAAGGTTTTTCGTTACAATTACTTCATCTATGTCACTATTAATGTTTTCTTCTAAGGAATTTTCGAAAGGTAAGAAATTACTCTTAAACTATCAAATCTATCTTAACGTTTAGCTTATAGAGGGGCTTCTCGAAAAAAAATTTGCACTTTAAAGTTTAATATTTCGCTCTACTACTTTGACGGCGTGACCGATATACATATCTCCACAAAAAAAAAACGGTTGTCTAGTGCTAACAGAGGCCCGGTCCATTTTTAGGGCCTCTAAAAATGGACCGGGCCGGACTCCTTTGTTGCCTCAGGGCCGAAAGCGGTCGCGCATTTTTTACTATGAAATTGTGCATGACTTTTTGTCAATTATTTCAAACAAGCTGTGTCCCGCGGTTTATTCCCTAATAAACCGCGGGACACAGCTTGTTTGAAATAATTTCCCGCAGTAAAACGTGACGTAGCCTAATGTGTTAATCCAGGGTGTCAGCTAACTCCATACTAATAAAAATCTCTCTAGTCGTTTAGACGTGAAGAGGTAACAAACATACACACTTACAAACTTTCGCCTAGATAATATTAGTGTGATACAAACTAAATTCAACGGAATTAGAATCATTTATTTGTGGGTAGCTATGTACAATCACGATCAGCAACAATGACGAGACAAGGGGAGCGAATTCTCGAGAAAGCGTGAGGATTGCGTAGAAGTCGCGCTACCAGTTTACGCCAGGTTGACGCCAGCTTAGAATGTTTAGTTCAATATCTTTGTTCTTTTATGCGTATTGATTATGAAATTTTGTAAAGCCAGGGCACTATTTGCGAACTATTTCGTTGCTTAAGGCGCTTAGCAGACGACGGGGCGGGGCGGGCTTTTTGTCCGCGAAGCAATAAAGACCGCGTCTGCCCGTCGATGTCTGCGGCTGCCCGCGCCGCGTACATAAAGCACACGACGGGCAGAGGCGGTCAGTTCAGGACGTTCGTTCTAGTGAATAGTCCATCACTAAAAAGCGCGTGGCGCGGACTGAGCTGACACTGCATATAAACTGGTTTGTATGATCCACGGCGGGCAGCCGCGGACATGACGCGCCGCCACTGCCCGCCGGGCACCTGCGGCGCGGTCTTTTTGCCCTCTGTGTGCGTTTGAAGTATAGCATTCACTTTGTGCTATTATTCGCGGCGAAATTCACCGGCCCGCCCCGCCCCGTCGTCTGCAAAGCGCCTAAATATATGCCGTTCTTGGGGACGGCCATGGGTACGCTAGCTTGACGTCATGCTAGCATACACAATAAAAATGGTCTTTATTTCTTAAATTAAAGAGGCACTATTTTTCTTATTTTTACACTAATTTGGCACTATTTACGCAGTATTTAATGGCATGATGAAAAACCGTATATTGATCGTGAGTACGCTACCATCACGGACACTATCAGCTGAGCTGTACGACGCCCGCTGCTGTAGGCTTCTCCAAGGAGCTCCACATCGAACGTTTCTGTGATATTCTCATCCAGCGGCTTCCTTTTCCGTCACTAGATCGTCGGGCCACCTCGGGGGACCATCCCACTAAGCATTTTCTATGTGCGGCCGCCTTTTGTGAACCTTGCCGCGTTAACGGAAATCAGCTACTTTACTATTTTCGGAATTGTATTTATAAAAATGAACAAACATGTATTTTATATACTATTTAAATGAATTTAACAACGGCAACAAACATGAAGTGCGACCACGAGGCGCAATATAGGGGACATTTTTGCACTGATTAGTATAAGTCTTCATAAAACCGACAATCATTGGGCTGCCTTTTAGATACCTTCTTTAAAAAAAAAAAGAATATAATAACAATACACATGGACAAATCAGATTTAGATTTAATATGGCACAACCCAAAAATGTGCGATATCCGACACGCACTTGACTGGTTTCTTCTTTGTTTGTTTGTTTCTACTTCTACTAAAAGGTCACAATGGTTTATTTATTTATGCTTAGAATATAATCTAAAATATCTACCGATCTAAGGTTTAGGGATGTAGCAAGTAAATGCAGATTATGTAAGGACATTGTACTTATTCATATGATATAAATACATTTCAGACTTAATTTATATGCAAACATTCTAAAATACTGTAAATTGTCATAAAATTTTGTAAAAATATTTTTATAATAATAATAGGTATTATTCTAATATTAGGATTTTTATGCATTATAAAATGATTTTGAATTTCCTAGGCACTTGTCAACATGTTTTAAACAAATTTCATCTAAAAATGTTTCTTTTGTAGACATATTCAGTATTGTTTCCTATAGGTAGACGGCTTAACTTTGCCACGAAATGGTTATGGCACTTTTTTTTAATTGCGTTCAGTTGTAATCTTGAAGATTATTTATATTTGAAAAGGGAACTGAATTCAGATAAATTGCAATGTTGCCTTCTTAGCCTTCCAGATCTCATGCTTAGATTCATGCTTTTCACTTAATTTAAACCATATTCCTTGATTAGTTGTCCTGCTATAACTAGCCTCTGAATTTCAGATGTACCCTCATATATTTCTGTGATTCTTGCATCTCGATAGTGTCTCTCTGCTGGCATATCAGACACATAGCCCATTCCTCCTAAAATCTATAAAAGACAACCCACATATCAAATCAGTTGCAAGCACATTAATTGTGAACACATGAAAAGAGATAAAAATATGCAATCTACTATTTATCATAGTTACAAAAAAATTGCTGGTATGCTTTATTTAGTCTCCAATATCTGAATAATGTGGTGCCACCTTAGATTAAAACAAAAAGTAAATATAATGGTACTTGCGGCTCTTTAGTCACAATTTCACATCCAAGAACCCTGCATGTGCACTCAATATATAACAATATTTGCGGATATTCTGTGTTAGACACATGAAACAATGCCTTTGATGCTTTTAAAAAGAAAACAAATAGTTCAAGATCAAATTAAAAATTCAAACAATAAAAACACTTTTTCTCAAAAATTACGGTTTCTCATGAATGTTATTGACCAGGTTGTTTGTTACCAGGAAAAGGACAACAATACAGCATAGCGGTTTACAGAGAGAGAAAAAAAAAGAATGAATGTTTTTAATAGAAGTGTGTGAGAGTTGCTTTTATATTTGAGTCAAGACCATATTTTATTTGATGCTAGTAAGAGCATACCGTATCTCCCGTATTTGTTTTAATGTAAGGGTGCCATACAGTAAACATGCATTAATTTTTTACTCACAAAGCAAAAAAAAACATTTTTCTAAAATAAGACAGCAATTCACAGTATTTTAATACAACTAACAAGGAATGAGATGAAGTAGCTTCATATTTCTCAAAACAATAAATAACATTTCAAATCATCATTCAACAAAAAAATACATTCTAAAATAATTTTACCTGTATGCACTGATGAGATAAAAATGTTGCTGCTTCAGATGCTGCTAGTTTTGCCATAGCTGCCTCTTTTGTATATGGTTGCTTATTGTCTTTTAGCCATGCTGCACGCCAGGTTAATAACCGTGCTGACTCTAATTGTAATGCCATATCTGCTAACTTATTTTGTATAGCTTGAAGCTTCATAATGGGTTTCCCAAATGCCATTCTCTTTGATGCATACTCTGCTGCTACATCTAATGAGGCCTTCATGGACAGCATATTAAAATAAACATTCATCAGGCATATATTTTATGCAACTATTCCCTTTGGTCTATTTTCATAAACATCTAGAAATTAAGAATTTTTATTCACTTTTTCCTAACTGGTTATGAAATAAGAATATTCTTTTCCATTTTCATAATTGGTAAAATAAAGAAATAAGAAAATGACTTTAAAAATTCCTTGTTACCATATTTCAGTAAAGAAAAATCTTATTTCATAAACAATTAGGAAAAAGTGAATAAAATATCCTTTTTCATAGATGGTTACGAAAAGTAGTTAAGAAAATGGACCAAAGGGCTTATTCTATTCAGATTCTAAGTTTAGACAATTGTACATAATGCATGCTAGAGGAATAGCAAATGGATTTGGATTACAAATACTTTTATTGTTACATTTAGATATCAATTAAATTCAATGCCTGCCAAAGTAACATGTTGTCTTACATTAATCTAATGTAAAAAAAATATTGGCTATATACCATTGTTTAAGACAAAATTTTTTTAAGACATCTTTAATTTAGGTAATATTACCTGTGCAATTCCTAATGCTTGAGATGCAATACCAATTCTTCCAGCATCGAGTGTCATCATGGCAATTTTAAAACCAAATCCTGGCTCCCCTAAAATATTTTCTTTTGGTATCTCACAATCTTCATACATCAGTGAACACGTTGATGAAGCCCTTATACCTAATTTGTCTTCTTTTTTTCCCAATTCTAATCCTTTTATGGGCTTTGGCACTATAAATGCAGATATACCTTTGTGCTTCATACTTTTGTCAGTAGTTGCAAATACAACAGATGCCTTGCTTTCATAGCCATTAGTTATCCAGCACTTGGTCCCGTTAAGAATCCACTTGTCACCACCATCCTTAGCAGTTGTAGAAGCTGCACCAGCATCTGACCCATTTCCTGGTTCAGATAGGGCAAAACAGCCAATGGTTTCACCTAAAAATATTAATTACTAATGAATGCTAATGTTGTAGTTTCACTTCCATTATTATTCCTTTATGTAAATTTGTTATTTTTTGTACCAACCTACCATTAACCTGATAGAAGAGAGCACACAAGATGCAGTACGTTATTACAAAATATCAGATCAAACTGGAAGCCCTTATATTCTTGTTAAGAAAAATTAAAGGAAATTTTAATTACCATTACAATAGGGTGTGACATACTCTTCCTTTTGTTTTTTAGTACCCCAGTGGGAGACTGGACCTAAATACAAAGAATTGTTTACAGACATAATAACACCACATGATGCACATCCTCGAGATATTTCTTCAAGTGATATAGCATATGCGAGGTAGTCCAGTCCAGCTCCACCGTTTTCTTCTGGCACTGCGATAGCCATTAGACCAAGATCACCCATCTTTTTAATAGCATCTCCAGGGAACAGATGGTCGCGATCGTATTTAGCGGCGTTCGGCTTCAGCTCGCCTTCGGCAAAATCTCTACATGTTTTGTAGAGCATCTGATAGGTTTCAGGCAAGGCTGATAGAGAAGCTATACCTCTCGATTGTCGTACCACAACACCGGAAAGGGCAGGAGCTGAAAACTCTTAATGTGTTAAAATACAATGTTTACTTCCTATGTACTTTTACTTTTTACACAAATATTGGATAACTAAACTACCTATCACTTGTAGACTCTTTGTAAAAATATTGTGCATTGTTGACTTTTATTTACTTATTCAATAAAAATTAAAATAAAATAATTGGAAAAACAATTAAACAAAAATACTTTCTGTACCAAGCACTTTGAACTTTGAAATTCGTTTAGGAACAAACACAGGAATACAAGATGCTATTTTGAGATTATATAGTCTTGTTTAGAAATGAAACTTTTGTCAGACATAATGTCTATGGTCACGGAGTGTGAGTATTTATTCTAGGTACGGTACTAAGGGCTTGTGTCGGCGATGTTGCGCGACTTCGATCACATCCATAACCCAGTGTGTGCGATTGGTAACTGATGATGATGATTGGTGATGTTAGTTTAAGCCGTCTGTATCCATGAATTATTATTGATAAAATTAATAGGCATGCGTCCGATATATCAAAACGAATCCAAAATCCGATTTCAAACACAAATCGATACCGAACGATTTCTCAACAAGAAAATCCGATTTCAGAAATCTAACCGAACCAAAACCAAATACCACAAGTATCCAAATCTAAATCGGATTCGAAATTCGTACTTTCGTTTTCGGAAGTAAGATTTCGTGCTCGGAACTCCGATTTCGATTTGCTGTTTACGGAAATCTATTGCTGTTCTTTGAGGCGGGATTATTTATCACTGAAAAGATATGTCGTCTAAAAACATCAAAAGTCGAGCAACTTACATTTTTGGACGCTAACCTGAAGTAATTAGGTTTGATTTTGTAAATGGTTTGAAAAATAATAAAAATAAACAGAATAACAAATAAAAATACTAAAAAATATGTAAAAAAAAATGGTTGCCTGTAAAGTCGGTTTTACGGGCGAAGATTTTACGTGACAACGTCTTTTTCTCGGTAGAATATTTATTGATATGAATATAATTAAATTGCACAATAGGAACAAGGAATTGAATGAAAATAAGAATAAGAATTTACTTGCACGCGTGGGTCACACATTACCTGCGCGTGGTGCACCAGCCTGGTGTGGTCGTATAGCGCGGCGTGGTAGGTGAAGCATGCCCGGCAGGTGGGGCACGCGTGGGTCACACATTACCTGCGCGTGGTGCACCAGCCTGGTGTGGTTGTATAGCGCGGCGTGGTAGGTGAAGCATGCCCCGCAGGTGGGGCACGCGTGGGTCACACATTACCTGCGCGTGGTGCACCAGCCTGGTGTGGTCGTATAGCGCGGCGTGGTAGGTGAAGCATGCCCCGCAGGTGGGGCACGCGTGGGTCACACATTACCTGCGCGTGGTGCACCAGCCTGGTGTGGTTGTATAGCGCGGTGTGGTAGGTGAAGCATGCCCCGCAGGTGGGGCACGCGTGGGTCACACATTACCTGCGCGTGGTGCACCAGCCTGGTGTAATTGTATAGCGCGGCGTGGTAGGTGAATCATGCCCCACAGGTGGGGCACGCGTGGGTCACACATTACCTGCGCGTGGTGCACCAGCCTGGTGTGGTTGTATAGCGCGGCGTGGTAGGTGAAGCATGCCCCGCAGGTGGGGCACGCGTGGGTCACACATTACCTGCGCGTGGTGCACCAGCCTGGTGTGGTTGTATAGCGCGGCGTGGTAGGTGAAGCATGCCCCGCAGGTGGGGCACGCGTGGGTCACACATTACCTGCGCGTGGTGCACCAGCCTGGTGTGGTCGTATAGCGCGGCGTGGTAGGTGAAGCATGCCCCGCAGGTGGGGCACGTGTGGGTCACACATTACCTGCGCGTGGTGCACCAGCCTGGTGTGGTCGTATAGCGCGGCGTGGTAGGTGAAGCATGCCCCGCAGGTGGGGCACGCGTGGGTCACACATTACCTGCGCGTGGTGCACCAGCCTGGTGTGGTTGTATAGCGCGGCGTGGTAGGTGAAGCATGCCCCGCAGGTGGGGCACGCGTGGGTCACACATTACCTGCGCGTGGTGCACCAGCCTGGTGTGGTTGTATAGCGCGGCGTGGTAGGTGAAGCATGCCCCGCAGGTGGGGCACGCGTGGGTCACACATTACCTGCGCGTGGTGCACCAGCCTGGTGTGGTCGTATAGCGCGGCGTGGTAGGTGAAGCATGCCCCGCAGGTGGGGCACGCGTGGGTCACACATTACCTGCGCGTGGTGCACCAGCCTGGTGTGGTTGTATAGCGCGGCGTGGTAGGTGAAGCATGCCCCGCAGGTGGGGCACGCGTGGGTCACACATTACCTGCGCGTGGTGCACCAGCCTGGTGTGGTTTTTAACTATAGAAATATATTTTGTTTACTAAAACATTGTACATGTAAACTTAAACTTAACACGAGAGACTCATCGTAACGTTACCGAGCGTTACACTTTTTCATAAGTGACTCCCAGCCGCAACCTAATTTAAGACGTTGTCACGTCAAAAGAAATCATTGTATAAAAGCCGATTTTTAAATGCGCCGCAAAAGTTTTACTCTTAACCGTAAACATAACTTTTCTGCTAGTCCTAAGCCTAGATTTAAAGCATGAAGGAAAATCGCGAATATCTACGAGTATCCTTGCTTCCTACAATTAATTGTTTGTGATTGTCGTTAGCTAATAAAACCAAATCATAACACAAACTAGTGAATTGGCTAAGTTCAGCACATCTGAAATCGGATATTTAAAAACGGATTTTAAAATCGATTTTGAAATCTGAAATCCGATAAATATCCGTTTGCGTTCAAAACCAAAAACGCCCATGTCTAAAAATTAATATTAATACCTTAATAAAACTGCGCTATGCAGTCGCAAGCGACCTGAGGAGACTGGTCGCTGCAAGTATCACCATACCATCGGTCACTAGTCTAGTCGCCGGCACGCTACATTACCTTTACTACATTGAGCTATTTGGATTATATACATACATTGTATGCTTTCCAATTACAGAGCATAATGCGACTCAGTGCCGCACAATGCCGAATTATGCTGATGCTTAATTGGACCGTGAATTAGTTTTCAAATGCACCAGCAGAGTGCGCTAAGTTCAGTGTTGAAAAAAAAGTCAATGTTTGTACCTTCATCCATACATATATTTATTTTTTAACAGTTTGAACGAACTTTGATTTATAATTTTTCAACAATAAATAATATTACTAACAATAACATATATATAAAACATTTCGATCAATGCCAACTTAAAGAAAAAACACTTGTTAATTTTCTTTCTCTAAGTTGGTACCATTGTACGCATCACACGAAAGCATCACTTTTGAGAGTGCTCAATTGTGCGAAGCGTTGCTGTAGTTGGAACACTCAACGTTAAGCATTATACCGCATAATGCGCAATAATGCTGTAATTGGAAAGCAACCATTGAAACAAGTCGGTGTAATGCCAGTCTCGCGATGTCGTCGCTGGCATGCTGCACGAGCCCTAACGCATGAAGACGAGGCTTAAAAGACTAGTAATCAAAGCTATAACTATTTAAGAGTTATTTGGGCTATGCTAGCTCTTTGCCTTCAATGATAGAAATTTTATAAACCAACAAAAAAAGCAAACTGGGGTTTTTGGCGGGATTTCATCGAGTGCGGTTGGCGTCTTATTTTAATTATTCCTAAATTCGTTCATAGTGGATATTGTGAAATAAAATTGGTGTGGTTTCGTGAAACAACAGTCTGCGTAACTGAAGAATTAGTGGAATCGTTAAAATATCCTCTATTCCGATCAAGTGAACGTGAGAATTTTATTGTAGTGTTGACTACCTTACAGAAGCGTATCGAAAAAGCCAACTCGATACATTTCGTGCCAAACACTCCAAGAAACATAAGAATGCGTCACACCGACATTCTAATGTAATAACAATAAGAAAATTAATTTAATTAAAGCCCAGGCTGTGGGCATTGTTCCCTTTGCCTTCCTTAAAACGGGAGAACTTCAACAAAAAAAAAAAAAAGCAAACTGTCTGTCACTGTCACCACAGGCCACAAACTGTCACTTTATCTGACAAACAAAATAATTTTAGTAATTACGAAAAAAATATATTTTACAATGATAAAATGGAGATATTATTAAAATTTTTACCCACCAATCCATTGAGACTTGCAGCTTGTAGAATTTTATCTTTTCATGTAGCAAATTACACTCGGTAAGTTTCTTCTAAATATTTTTTTTCTTAATACATTACGTTCATAACCTAAGTTTTCATTCTATTAATTTTCAGTTTAGCGGAAGTTGGGAAATTGGAGTCACCGAAAACCTCGGGAAAATATGACACTGGACAGCTCATACTACACAAAGTGTTCGGTTACAGAGGAGTGATTTTATTTCCATGGCTAGCCAGAGTTTATGACAGAGATGCCACCAGTAAAAAAGAAAACTCTGAATCTTCAGATAATGCTGATGCCTCCGGGGATACACTATCGAACGTAGGCAAAGAAGTAAAAGGCAGAACACATACATTTTATCAAGTTCTCATTGACACCAGAGATGCTCCTTATATAGTAAGTATTTATTGAAATAATAATTCAAGAGGCTCTTTTGATAGGGTCATTCAGAAATTACTGATAATAAGTGTAAGCCTTCCGATACACTGAGAAAAGGTAAATGTTTATGTTGATTACTTTTAATTTTGCGCAGATGCACCTATGATATTTTGGCACCTTCAAAGGGAAATGAGGTCAAGTTATGTGTGATATTATCATTATTTCCTTAGGAAAGTTATTTAAAAGTATCTATACATATAAAGGTTGTGGGTCATCTGTTACATATGCACCTAATCATAGATATCACTATTGAATAGGTACATATTCTGTTGACCAAGTATACAGCAACTTCTTAAAATTTAGAAGTTCAAATGATTTATTTTAAATCTTGTTGATTTTAGTTCTTTGTTTGAATACATGGTAAAAACTAATTAACTCAGAGCAAGCAGTATTGACCTTATCAATAAATTAAATCCAGTCATGTTTATAGTATTTACCCAAATGTTTTTATGTTCAACACTGATGATTTTATTCTACTTGGTTTGTATTGGTTAAAGATGAATTGAAATATTTTTTATATTATTTGTTTTTACAAAGGTAACTGGAATATACTGAATCAGAAATTTTTACTTTAATTTAGGTTTGTGAACATTGATGAAATAGAAATTAATTAGATCTCTCATACAGTTATATGTCTTTCAAAGAAAACTTTGAAATTGGATTAATTATAAGTGATGGCAGCTAAAAAACGACAGAAAATCAGCAGTGCTATTTTGTAAGGAAAAACTCACTGTTAACCTCATACCCTGGATGATGAGGAAAAAAGTAATTTAAAATTGGAACACGAATCTAAATAAATTTCACACCTGCAAAATTCCCTGTGAAAAGTGAGTTTGTTCTTACAGAATAGCACTGCAGTGCTTCCTATTTGTTTCTGTTCATAAAATTATTTTGTAACTATGGGAGTGATATTTATTTATACTATGTTATGCTTTTGCATTTTTTCTACCACCCCATTGGCATGATGTGTTATAAAATGTATCATATTTTATCATACAATAAATTATTTTATTTTCATAACAAATTTAACTAAATTACTAAGTTTTCTTTGTGTATAAATTGTAATCACTCTCATGTTCACAAATCCATCATTTATCACTCATGTCCATATTTAACTTTTATTATATCAATATGATTTGTTTTTTTCTAAATGAAGATATTAAAAATAGCAATTTATTTTCGACTGTGCAATCAAACCCTGATATGCGACCTGAGTGGAAGAAAAAGGTATTTTGCCTGCAGTTTAATTAGTGTTACGTGTATGTGATCTAATAATTAATTATAATAAAGCAAATATAACTAAATAACGTAATCAACTTTATGTTCTGAAGTTTTAACTACCCTTTATAACAGACTTCAAATGAGTTGGAGTTACTCCACTTCCATTTTTATGTATATTTTTTTCATAAAAATAAATTAATTATAACTATTTATTTAGAGCTGCTTTTAAAGAATAATTAGTTTTTTTAACAACAGTGTTATTAAAAAAATATGTTTTATGAAATAATTTCTATACCATGTCAGTATTTATAATTTAAATAAAATGTGTCGAGATTCAATAGAAGCAAAATTATCTAAAGTGACTGCATTATAATCACTTCACTTTGAAATTTAACAACATAATAATTGTAAAAATATGAATACAATAGAATGTTGGAACTAGCAAGAGTTATAGATAATTTTAACTTGAGTATGCAAAAATTGAAGATCCATTGCATAAATTTATCCATGTCATATGTCTGTGCTACTCATATCCACTGTGAAATGCTTCCTGGAGTAACGCATTTGCCTTCATTCCATAATACTACTGTAAATATATTTATTTTGAAAATGGTTTCACCTATTGTGATACAATAGATTTATCTCCAATAATAACTTATTTTTTAAGCATTAACTGCTAGTTGTGTAGTATGTTTAAATCTATAGAAAATTTTACTAGAAAAAATTCCACATGGTCCAATCAGCAGATGGGACTCCAACCCGCACTCTCCGTTATTTGGGCGGATGCACTGACCATTATGCTACCGCGGCCCTAGTCTTAGTAGTGCGGCGGGATGTTTGCGCAACTCAACACCTATTTTGCGTTGGAATTGGCATCAGTCCTGCCATCCCAGCTCCTCCAGAAAGCCCAGCAGCCCCAAGATGTTGCTGCTAGCCTCTACTAGTGTCCGCGGATTTCCCAGTAGAGAAGTCCTTTGTCTTGAAACGCCTCTACACTCCAGCAGAACATTGGCGCTCGACTCCTCCTCCTCCAGGAAGGCTCTGCTCATAGGGCTCACAGAAATACCTATATTACAATGGTGTTTGTTTAAATAGCCGTGACCCGTGAGTATACCCACGATTTGTTTTCGGACTAGTCTAGGTAGTCTCATTAACTTACGTGATAGTTGCAGGTTTACCTTAGGAACGGCTTTCCTAGCTTGCCTGTAGTCCATCAGTTTTGCTCAGTATACGTCATGTTGTCCTTGACAGTGCTTCCTTATCCAGGTCCTCAGTTACGATAACCCTATCGATCGTTATGGATAGGTACAATTGGCACTAGACATTGGTCTAGTGCCAATTGTATGTCGGCAGAGCCAATTACCAGGACATTTATTTATGTCAGTGCATCCACCCGGATAGCGGAGGGTTCGATTTCGAGTCCCGTCTGCTGTCTGGTCGCGTGGATTTTTTTGTAGTAAAAGATTCGATAGATTTAAACATTTATTTTATTATAAAATAAAAAACACATTCATTTTAATTAACATTAAAATGTAATTTCAATGCCGATAATCCGATTTATTCTAAGACAATTAGCCTCATATTTTAGTGAAAATTTAATTGATAGTACTTATGATATGATAAATCATAAGGGACAGTGCACATATATCGGATCGGAAACGGATCGCCACTTCCTCTACTTGAGCCGTTCAGTATTATTAGTATGAATTTTCATGCTGCATTATACACTAATAAGCTCCCGAACAGTGTCGTATCGCCTCAGAACCACGAACATCACGTAGGGGAAGATCTTCCTCCGAGCTGGGTGATGGTAGGTCGGGGTCCGCGGCCCGACTGATGTTGGTCGGTCGTCGTATATAATAATATGGAGTGTTAGCCTTCGAATATTACTATAGCGATTTAGGCTTCCATACATATTGATCGCAACGTCGGTAGCGCCATCTTTTGAGGAGGCGAATGACTATTTCCTTCATGTTGATTATATGTGGGGCATGTAGATGTCACCGCCACAGTTAACTTGCAATCTATGCGACAATACTACACTCATTGTTGTACACTATAAAAGTCCTTATACAGTCGAACACGAACACTTGAACTAAACTTAATCGCCTTTGTAATCGTTTCAAAGTCGCTGTTGATACACAACTGTCTTCTGCGCGGCGTTGGATGTCCTTATATACGCCAATCGACGCATTCCAGAAAAATCCAGCTCAATTGAAAGTTCTGTAGCACCGGCAAGTACGTTGTTATACGTAGTTAGCACGCATGAGTTGTAAACAAGTAGGCAGCTGTCATTGCACGTTTACCCTTACGCCGCACTACAGTGCTCATATTCGGATGGATCGCACTATTCGGCCTTCAACGATGTCATTCACGTCGCGAGCCGCGACATTCTGGGTAAATCTGTTTCTAGTATGTTCGTGGTTTTGGTTCCAAAGTGTTCGTGACAGTACGTTAAGTGATACACACATAGTATTCACGTGTAATCGTATCCACGGCTTGGCTCCGCTACTGTTAATAATCGCTCTTGTTGCGTACAGTTGACGGCTGGTGGACGGCGAGGATGTTGTAGTGGTAGGGATACGGTGTCGTCGGTCCGTTATCGATTCGATATGTGCGCCAACCTTTTTTGTTTGCAGTATTTTCATTTGGTATGTAACACCAAACTAATGATTCCGTTTTGCTTTTATTAATTACATTTTCACCTATCTTTTATTCAATTTACTTTGTGTCATGAGGATTTGAATTTACTTTAGCGTGCACAGACAGAGGCGGTGACGTTTCTGGGCAATCAGGAGTCCAGTCGCAGTCTGTACGCGATCCCAGGACTGGATTACGTGGCCCACGATGACATCATCCCCTATACTTCAGTGGAACGAGTGCCACTACAGCACGAACTCTTCGACAAGTTTCTAATGCATAATCCAGATAAAGGTAAGTCTTTGCCGTATAAATATTCAACAAATATAGCAAAACATCACATGCGTTATATATTATATTATGTTATCGGCAATTTGTATAATTCGGCATTTTAAACAAAACCTAGGCAATGTATGTAATATTAAAAAGATTATTATCCATTTTATACTTTGCCTGGGTAATGTATTCATTTATTAGGGGTTGTATAGAGTACCTGCTTGCCAACCGGGAATGTGTAAAATAAATATTGCCGACTGTGCAGTCGGCAGTGTGTGTAAGAGAAGATCAACGCGATCGCGTCAACTTCTCCTTGTTTTATTTATTTATTATCATCTATCAGGTGGCTGGCGCTTCGCCGACCGCAGCCGCGGTACGCTCGCTTTGCTCGCTCGGCTTGCGCTCAGTTTAGGTCACAATACTAACTTAACCTAACCCACTGTGAGTTGGTCAAAAGTTCATTGGTCTGTAATTCATTCGGTGAGAATTATAAGATCCGTCCGCTATTTTATATGCAATTGTGTAAGCTAGGTTTGGTGAGGATAAAAACAGGTTAAATCTATTTATTTTACACATTCCCTGTAGGCCAGCAGGAACTCTATACAACCCTAAGAAATGTGTACATGAAATGCCTAGGTAATCTAGGCAAAGTATAAAATGGAAAATAATATTTTAATATTCCATACATTGCCTGAACTTCCCAGAAATTCTATACATTGCCTAGGTATTGTATAGAATACCTACATTTTACAGATTGCCGGTGACTTAAACAAGAAGGATCATGTCTTACGGCGTTTCTCAGGGCTAGGTGTGAACATAGTGTGTGCATCACATATATTGCTCCAAACCTAATAAAGTTGGTATCTACATTCTTAAGGTAATATTTATGTAATCGTTGCAGACCCACCGTTTATAGCGCAAGAGACTTTACGGGCGTGGCAGAAGAAGAACCACCCGTGGCTTGAGTTGAGCGACGTGCACCGTGAGACGACGGAAGGTGTCAGGGTGACAGTCATCCCCTTTTACATGGGCAGCCGCGAATCACAAAACTCTGCCGTTTACTGGGTAAGTATGAGTACTATATGAAATTCGTGTGTCAATAAGCTTAGACAAAGATAGAAAGATATTACGTTTATTTTACTTTCTACACACTATTACGTGAATTAATGAGGAAATACCCTGCTTACTAACTAATTTTAAATATAAATAAATTTTCGATGCCAGAGTGACCAAGTCGCCTGTCCCTATTAACAAAGTCGGATCTTGAAATTTGCGATTTTTTTATTATTTCATAATTAATTCTTAAATAACAATATCTACCGGCAACATCAATAAAAAATGTATTTTTATACATAGTTTTTCAAATACACACATTAAAAATGTCGGATATAGTATAGATGGTCCGTTAAGAATGTCGGTTCTTAAATACCTACATCCTTTGCGGGGCGAGACGGGCGGCCGGTCGCGCGGATCTCACAGTTCTAATTTAACAATGCTAGCGGGTAAAACGCATGTCCCGTTATAACTAATTTTAAGCCAACAATAATTTAGTTATTTAATTAATTACTATATAATAAATAATATACGCAAAGATGTTCAGTAGATCTTCACATTTAGTAAGGTTAGCTACTGAAAAGCGAGTAGAAATTACAGGTATGTATTTAATTTCATACCATTAAACATACATTTTTTTTAAATATTGCAAGTAAATTTTGTATAATTTATATAAAATGTATTATTTTCCATGTCAACTCAATATTAAATATAATTTTGACCAGGTACCTACTAACTTTGATTTATAAATTAATGATTGCAAAATTTACTTGACACAGCGTTTAACAAAGTAGGATCTTCAACAAACGACTTTGTTAATTGTCTTTGCTTTTGTCTAAAATGTCGGTAGTGTGACATCCGACGTTGTTGAATGTTTCTAAAAATGGGCATAATGTCGGTAGTAATCACATGATTTATGCAGCAATGTATTTTGTGTCCCATGTTCCGAAAATGAGAGCCCGCCAATTTTATCTAACGAAGACCTTTATGGAAATTTGCCAACACCTTCTACGATGTCCATTACAAGTGTAAACACCCCCACTTCTGTTAAATCTGTTCAAACCCGCCAGTCTACTTTTAAAAAAGATAAAGGGAAAAAACGACATGTACATAAGGAAGATTGGGTGGTCAATAAGAGAAAGACTTTAAAAAATCACGGAATAAGTTACATTAATTCTAGAGGAAAACAAATACCATCGAAAGTATTAAAAGAGCCATGTAACGAAAAATGTCGTTTAAAATGCTGGAGTAAAATCGATGAGAATCAGCGAAATACTATTTTTGAGAAGTTTTGGGAGCTCGGGGACCGTCGTCGACAGTGGGAATTTGTAATCCGGCTAACGAAAAAAGTACCGAAACGTTGCAAAACTACGGAAATTACAAAGCACGATCGCAAGAATACTTTTTTTTATTATCTTCCTAATAAGAAGGCTGATAAGATTAAGGTATGTAAGACAATATTTTTGAACACAATATCTGCAGGCGAACGTATCATAACTACATCATGGAAAAAGTATGATGAAGAAGTTTTGATTGAGAACGATCAACGGGGCAAATATAAGCACAAGAAGACAGTATTAGACGAGGAAATGATTCGAAGTGTTTCTGATCATGTTAAGTCCTTTCCCTTAGTAGAATCACATTATGTCCGGAAAACTTCCAAGAAATTATATTTAGAAGGTATGACTAGTGCATCTCGCATGTATAATTTGTATGAGGAATGGTTCGATTCCGAAAAATATAATAATAGAGCAAATAAAATATTTGTTTCTTAGGTTTTCACGCACATCACTCATTAAATAAAACTAGTTTAAACGGGATAATGCACGAAACTTTATTTATTTATTGACGTTGAGAGCAAATAAAAGACAATATCGAGACATAATGAATGCAAATTTCAACATAGGATTCCATAAACCTAAAAAAGATCTCTGTGATGTCTGTCATATTTACAAAAACAAAGAATTTCCGACAGAAGATGAAAAATCTGCATTTTTAAAACATCAAGCTTCAAAAGCCGACGCTTAAAGCAGCTCGACAAAGACTAGGCGACTTCAAATAAAAATATTTTAGCGGCTACTTTCGACTTTGAAAAGATTTTGATAACGCCACATGGAGATATAAGCGTTTTTTATTATAAAAGAAAGTTATCAACTCTAAATTTTACGGTCTATGATATGGCTACCAAAAAAGCTAAATGTTTTATGTGGCATGAAGCCATAGCAAAACGTGGGGCAAATGAGGTATCCAGTTGCTTATATCACTATATAAAAGAGCACGTAGTTAAGGGAGTAAAAACTTTTAAATTTTGGTCTGATAATTGTGCTGGGCAAAATCGCAACCGCATTGTTTTTTCTTTATACTTACTAGCGGCAAAAGAATTTGATGTTACGATTACTCACCGTTTTATGGAAAAAGGCCACACCCAAAATGAGGGGGATAGTGTGCATTCAACCATAGAAAAGGCTAGTGATCGTAAGCTTATATTTGTACCAGAAGAATGGTACTGCCTCGTTCGCTGGGCCAAAGTTGAAGGTGATCCTTATGAAGTCAAAGAGATGACAACTCCAGAAATATTCGATTTTAAATCTCTTTTAATAAATAAAAATTGGAATAAAAATACAAACAATGAGAAGATTCAATGGACACGCGTTAGAGAGGTAACAGTAAATGCACAGAACTTCGATAGGATCGAATATAAATATGATTTTGATGATGCACCAAAGACTGTTGTTGTGATACGATGTGGTACCCGAAATACTGATAGATTATCTCGCGAATTCCAAATAAAACAGGCCTATGATAGTGAATTACCTATAAGTCGAAACAAACATAAAGATTTATGTAAAAGTGGGATAATCCCTAATAAATATCAACGCATTTCTGACGAAGAAGAATCATAATTATTAAAGACTGATTATTTTTGATTATTGACTGATTATTATAATTATAATTACCTGTGATGATTATTAAACTGCCATTAATTTTGATCGTTTTGTAGTAAATAAACGGCAATTTGTTTTGATAAGCTAATTTTATTTTATTATTTTACAAGGATTTGTAACTTTGAGACTGATTTTACTTATATAAATGATAAGGTATTACTAACTATGATGATTGCTAAAGTGCCAAACTTTAATTATAAAAAAGAATTTAGATTAAGACTAAGAAGAAAAATATTTTTTGAGCATTTTTAGAATACCGGAATTATTAAATAATATTTCTTTTTAATTTTATTCAATGGTTAAATTTAGTTATTGTTGCTTTACTTTTATTATTCACCTACAAGGTTTTTGATTTGCATGAATAATTTTAATAAATGTGCAATAATTATTATTTTATTTAAGAAATAACTAAGCTTTTATTAATCTAATAATTATGAAGAAAATTTTATTTAGTTTTCAGTTGATTATTTTGAAGATAAAGTACAAATAAACATTAAGTATAAAAGGTTATGGTGTTTTATTCATAGTCTAAATCAACATACGATATACATTTACTCTAAGAATACATTAAACAATGTCGTATTTGGTAGTTCCGACAGGAAGTCACCAAGTTAGTTTATTTAACAACGTCGTAACTAGTAGTTACGACAGATAGTCACCAAGTTAGCACAATTATCAAAGTCGGTTCTAGTAGTTCCGATAAATCAACACGGTCGCAGTCCCGTTAAAAATGTCACAACTCACTTTTGATGTACTTATAATTTAAAAACTACATATTTTATAAACTATACAATCAATAAATACCTTTTATAATAATACTGTAAAATTTCATAAGCCTGCTTGCCATAGGTAAAAAAATATAAGCATTTTAAACTTTGATGTGCTCTCCTGTAAAGTTGCCATTTTCGAGATCCGACTTTGTTAATAGGGACAGACGAAGTAATCTATTTTTATCCTAAAATAAAGGAGATGGTTCAAAAGTGGTAGTAGGTTTCCGTAGCGATGAAACATATATCATTTGAAAGCTTGTTTTATGTAATAACATGAATGCACTGTCCATTATGCTACCGCGGCCCTGACGGCTGTGTCAAATTACCTCTAGCCTTTCTTAAGCTGCAAGGCAGGGCCATCTCTTCGCATTGTAGGTAACCCACAATAAATCTATAATTATAATTATTATTAAAAAAATAGAGACATAATAAATTCTAGGTTTTTGTCAAACGACTTACAACTATGAACGTGCACTGCATTTCATAAAAATTTTGGAGTTTGCCGGAGCCTGACTACCATCCTTCATACAAAATTTAACCATGTCTTTTAATGATTCCCTTGAAAAGTAAAGATGAATCATCATCATCATCAACGTATGGATGATAATAGGGAGGAACCTATTGCGCGGTGTCTGTGCGAATTGGTGGGTCCTAACGACTGCAGATGCAGCTAGGACCAACGGCTTAATATGTCTTTCGAAGAATGAAGGAGCTCGAGATCATAAATTTTCAGTCACCCATCTCATGAACGGCCATTGCGACCGAACGCGCTAACTACTTTTTAAAATGAATTTGTTATACAAAGGTGTCCGTTAATATCTAATGACTGTAAAATAAAGTATAAATTACGCCAAGAATTACCGTATATGTCAATATTTTTTGTACTTTTGGGCCAATTTGAGCAATCTCCTTTAGTCTTAAGTTTAGAGAATCATGTCAGAATCGACACCAATAACTGGTTAAGTAAGGGAAATACGGGGAAACCCTTTCTAGGTGGATGCCTACATAATATCTAACACTGCATTATTGCCCTCAGTGGCGGTATTGCATCCGTTTGGAGAATTTGGGTCCGCAAGCAGTTCAATTGCGCGAGCGACACTGGCGCATATTCTCGTTGAGCGGAACCTTGGAGACCGTTCGAGGAAGGGGCGTGGTGGGCCAGGAGCCGGTGCTCGCTAGACAATCGCCGGCCTTCCAGTACAGTAGCCACGTGAGTCTGCAGGCGCCAAGTGGACATATGTGGTGAGTATTACCTAAGTTCTATCTATTTACAGGTAGTCCTCGTACTTACGGCATGTTGGGTTCTCGAAATACGCGAGGTAAATCGAAACAACGTAAGTCGAACCATCCCCACGGACGCCGGCCCCACGGACATTGACCTCGCGACAAGTATTCACTTGTCCTATGCTCCTATGCCGGAAATCGTAACCATTGACGTATGCTTGAGGTATAGTGCCAAAACATTGTTCGACGTAAATCGAAACGACGTAAGTCGAGGACTGCCTGTATTTCCTGTTGTTTTGTTGCAGCAACTGCCTTACAATCATCGTTGCCAGAAGTCCCGATTTTTAAATCAAAATTATATGTCCCGCGCGGGACAGGTTCAATCCCGCTTTTCGGGAATAACTCGACAGTGCGTGCAGCGTACTTAGAAAGCGCGGGCGGGGGGCACAGACAAGTGTGGACAGGCCACCTGCCCGGCGCGTAACGAAGAACTCTCAAACAAAGACTTAACTATTTAACGATAGGGTAAATCTGATTTAAAATATCATATTTTTTTATTAAAATACATTGTCTATGGATATTTTTACTTGGTACCTAGGTATCTATTGTTACGTAAACGTAATTTGAACCCAAATAAAAAGATAAATATTCAAAAACTTTTGATTATATACGTTTTTTACTATGTCTCGCTTTCGACGAAAGAATCCCGCTTTTTTACTCAAAAAGTTCTTAAATCCTGACTTGGCAAAAAAAAACTGGCATGGCTGCTTACAATACAACACACAATAGAAAATGTCGTTGTAAAAGATATACTGCCGTACTCAGAAACGACAAATTCATTTGATTCTATATTCATAAGGTAACGTGTTGTCTCATTCTATTGTTATTGCAAATGAAGTGACGACATCAGATTTAAAAAAACTTGAAGTTAATGACTTCTCTGAGTGCCGCTGATTGAGCGTGTTTTTCCATGAAATCATACGAGGAGGTTATGCAGCGACATTATGCTGAGCGAAAGCCATTTTGGTACAGTAGGATTTAAGTTTTTAATTGATATCTCTTTGTATTTTTTTAATTTGTGTTTTTTTTAAATTGTATGTAATATTTTAAATATTTTTATGTACCTTCCAACTTACCATATATGGGTCATCCATAATTGATTTGCTACCCTTCCACCGTTCTCGTCACAGTTGGTCACATTTGTAAGTGAGTGTGACGTCACATATTTTGTTATTTTGCATCTAGAAATTACTTATTAAATTAAAACAGCAGTTTCGAAATTAGTTCCGAAAATAAGCTAACAAAATAAATTAATATTGAATAAAACTAGTTTAAACGGGATAATGCACGAAACTTTATTTATTTCTGTCGACTGACGTCTGACGACGAAGCCTGGAAAGGCTACGAAACGTCAATAAATAAATAAAGTTTCGTGCATTATCCCGTTTAAACTAGTTTTATTTAATGAGTGATGTGCGTGAAAACCTAAGAAACAAATAAATTAATATTGTTTGATAATAGTTCAAAAAGTGTTCGGTTTTGAAATGTGACGTCACGAAATTTTTGACCCCTCCCACCCTTTGTCACATAATGTCACACTTCGTTAACCCCCTCCCTCCCCCTTAACGTGTGACGTACTGTTACGACAGCGCCATCTAGTTACTCAAGGTGAATCTAGATAGCTTGCAAACTTCGTATTATGTGTTTAGCTTTCTACACTTACAAACTAGATGGCGTTGACGACAATATATGCATCATGTTTAGGGGTCATCCATAATAGTACAGTCAATCTGTCGAAAAAAATATCGTTTCAGTGAAAAAAAAAACCTAAAGGGTAAGTCTTGTTTTTTCTGTTGCCAAATGACGTCAGTAAGCCACCTTGGCGATGAGTATGTTCAACACGTAGGCGTTTTTTGAAAAACTCAAAATTTTTTTGAAACGCATTTTTATTTTAAATGAAACGCAAAGCTTCTTTCAGTCCTGCCAATGTGAAGATTGTGCCACACATTTTAAACTTTATCTAATTTTCGACGTCATTCTCCAACTGTAAAATTAAAAATATGTTATAGACAGGTTTTGTAAGTATTAGGTAAGTTACTAATGCGTTTTTACGTACAATCAGATTAATTAAGCATATAACAAGTATATTCGCCGACTTACGTCAAAGTGATCTTCACAGCATCGAATAATGGTCTTTGGAGAATAATTGTCATTTCTCTTTGCAGCTTGAAACCACTTTTTTCAGTTTTGGGTCAGAAGTTCCAGTCAAAAACAATTTATTTGGAAACTTTGTTGAAGTAGATTAGACAAAATATGAGTCAACACGGCTTTTTTTCGGAATATTAGTGGTATTGTTATGATCACATGATGTTGATGGATAGTCCATTTTAAATTTTTCAAAAAAATATTCCGAAAGTTGAAAAAATATGCAAAAGTATGAAAATTTAAAGCCAGCGACGAACAAGTACGACCAGTGACAGACAGGAGTGACGTCATCGCAACCGTAGGTTCGTTTTCGCGCGAAAATTGAAATTGTCATTTTTTTCATTTTTTAATATATCTGTGGTTTATTCTACATGGAATTCTTTAAAATGAAAACAAAAATAAAAATATTGCATCTTCCCTATTATGGTCGGAAAAATAGTTTCTAAAATGCATACAAAACAAGAAAAATGCGTTTCAAAAAATTTTTGAGGGTTTTTTTGAGTTTTTCAAAAAACGCCTACGAGTTGAACATGCCCATTGCCAAGGTGGCTTACTGACGTCATTTGGCAACAGAAAAAACAAGACTTACCCTTAAGGTTTTTTTTTCACCACTCAACCTACAGATTGACTGTACTAATAAATTACGTCACACGAATTTCATGATTTTTTGCCTCGCCCCCGTCCTTGTCACAGCTAGTTACATTTGTGAGACTCCCGACTCCTTAGTGTGACATCAATTATTTTGCAAATTTACATTTAGAAATTATTGAAAGAAAACAGCGGTTCCGAAAACAGTTTTATTTCCATTTAATTTGTTTTTTATACTATCAAATCATACAATTGACAAAACAAAAAACGATTAATTATATTAATTAAAGAAATTACCAAACAATAACCGATTGACTATGTTGATTAAAGAAATGACCAAAATAAAAACGGTTTATTATATTAATTAAAGAAATTAAGAAAACAAAAAACCATTGATTTTATTAATTAAAGAAATAAACAAAACAAAAAATATTAATAGCAATCAATATATTTAAATTAAAGATACAAACTTAATAATCTTGCGTCCATGGACATTGAACCCACTACTTTAAATTATGTATAACTGGCATAGCATCTTTGTTCTCGTTTGGGTTGTTAATGTTTTCGTAAAGTAATAGTTTAAATTTCGTATTTCCACTCTTAGATTATAATAGATTTTGAAAAGTGACGTCACGAAATTTAGGACCCCCACCCCCTTGTCACACGATGTCACACTTCGTCGACCCCCTCCGTTTCTCCGTTAGGTTTTGGTGAACATTTGGTTCACTGGTTTGCTAGTCTCAGCTAATCGAATACTGTCTTTCATTTGAGCACCCGATTTAGACGTACTTCATGAATGACCTCATAAACATTTTTTTATTCTATTTATACCCGTTTGTTACCAGGGGAACGTTCCGCATGGAACGCGAAGACGGCTACACATTTGACTGCCGCATCCCGCCGTTCTCGTTGGAAAGTAAACCGGACGAGGGTGCGCCCGTCGCCCCCGCGCCAGCGTCGTGACCGCGCGCTGCCTATTAGATAGAATCCGTTCCAAACGTTCTGTGAGAAACAGTAAACAAAAATGTAGGTATTTCTGACCATACACAGCTCAGGGACGGGAATTCGTAGAATTCTTCAAAAATAAATTGACAGTGGTATCGATTCTGGCATGATTCTCTAAACCTAAACTTAAATTTGGCAACAGTGTATCCTTGTCATTCTCTATACAGAATGAAAAGGAGAGACTGATGTTAAATTTAGTTTTAAGTTTAGAGAATCACGCCAGAATCGCCACCACTGATGCTTATTCTGACATTATTCTCTAAATCTAAACTTAAATTTGACAACAGTGTATTCTTGTCATGCTCTATACAGAATGAAAGGGAGAGACTGATGTTAAAGTTAGAGAATCATGCCATGTGTAGAGAATCATGCCAAAATCGACACCACTCACGAATTTTGACAGCGCCGTAATCGTATCGCATCGTCAAAGTTTCTATGTTAATTAAGCAGCGCCCCTACCGGACGTAAGTACAAACTGGATTCTTCCATACAAAATTGGACGTCGACCACACGATTACGGAGCTGTAAAAATTCGTGCTTAGGCCTGTGATTCTTTACATTGGATTACAATCTATAGGTAGCGCTTAGCATCTTGAGCAAAACCACAGACAAATTAACTTGCGCAGTAGACGTTTTTGTATATAAAATTGCTACTGCGCAGGCTCCTTCGGCTATGGTTTAGGTATGCTCAAAAACTTCGCCGGCTGTTTACCGTAGCTAGTTGTGAAGTAAAGTTTTTGTTTACATTTATTTGCTCTCGAAACGTTTGTAACGGACTATACCTACACTTATTTTGACGTATACAGTGGGAGTTAAACTTAATGACGGCTGTGGAGTTAACGCAAGTGGCGGCACAGTAAACTAGATGTAGGGTGAGTGTAGGCGCGAATGTCATTTAACGGAAATCTGGGAATCGCTGCGCTCGCTGCTAAATTCACAACCGTCATAAAGATTGAGTCGCTCTATATTCGACACTTTCATTAGTAATTTAAATGAAAATTCAAAATGGATTTGGTCAATAGCCTGCTACTGAATCGAAAGTATGTAATACGAAAGCTGCACCTTTGGCAACTCGTGACTTTAATGTGTATTGAACTTTTAGGTTATCTGCAGATTCAGAATTTTGAGGCGATCCCTTTAAAAGCAGTGTAGACTTTGAAATAGTGTTTAACAACCGTACACATGCTTAACGTGAAAAAAAATATTATAGGACTGTCTAAGGCGAAACCAAATGCCAAATGTGTACAATAAATTGGGATAGTGGTAAGCCCTCCAAAGTGAGGAAGCCCGGCATTTCGATGTCAATTCTGCACCAGTTATCTATTTGGCACATGTCACTTAACATCTTATCATGTATAAATAAAAAAATCTGCAAACGCATCCAAGTCAGCCACGCCCTAAAGTGTCGAATAAATATGTCAAATTAGTTAGCTCGTAATAAGCGCCATCTACTGCATTAGTAGAGATGATACGACGGTTCATATGCGAATATTCTAAGGTTATTTTAAAAACTGCTGTGAAATTAATATCAAAATTTCCGATGGAATTTTGAGACAGACTACAGAACATTGTAAAACTATTTGTGAAATTGGAGAGACATAGTATTTTTGACATTGCATAATTTAAGAGTCAATCTCATTCTTATTTTATGCATGAATGTACCTGCTTCTTTATTTGTACTTATTAATATCCCGTTTTGAATCCTAATGTCGGTACATCACTTCGCTATTCGTGTTTGCTATTTGTAAAGTTTGCAGCAGTTCTATCCTTTTTATTCCCTAAAAAGCATGATAAGGACACACTGTTGTCAAGTTAACAAATACCAAATACGAATAGCCAAGTGAGGTGCCGGCATAAAGAAGAAATCAAGTTCGCTGAATGTCTTTTAATTTGTATGCGATTTAATAATAAAATATTGCATACTTTTGAAAATTACTTTAAAGAAATTCTGCTTATCAGTTTCAACATTGAAAAGGGGCAACAATGTTATTGAAAAAATCTCTGTTGTTTAAATTATTTGCTCAAAAGTGTTTTGAGTTTTCAAATTTAGACTAGAAATAACCGTTAATTTATAAAACCGCATTGTTAAATCATGACACATACTAGTTGTTTTTGTGATATTCATTAGAAAATTATAATTTAAGAAAAAAACAATACAGTACGTGTGATTTCTTTTTAATTTATTGTTATGACGATACTAGATAAAGCTGGATGACACATAAGACCCAATTTGTTTAGACAAATAAATTCTTTAGTCATTTGTTAAATAGAGTTATGATTAGATCTGTAATAAATTACAGTATTCTGTTAAAATGTGTATTTTTTTATTAGCCCCTGCCCCTCTAGCATGACCACCGACACGGGATATGATAAAGCGATATATTGGCATTAACTCAGACTACAGTGAAGTTTGTCAGGTGAGATTCCATAAAACAGCTTTATCTTAAGGTATTACGGTGCTACGGGGGCTGAAATCTTCCGACTCCCGTCACGATTATTTTTTAAATTTACATTGTTTCGTAACCATTAATATTATAATCATATTCACCCTATTAATATTTGCTGAGGCACAGTACTTCCCCGTGTATGGAACGGGTAGGCTGAGCCATGATCCACCATGAGGGCCCAGTATGGATTGGCGAGTACTAATGACTACCGGTGCGATCGGAACCAACAGTTTAACGTGCTTTTTAATGGTCAATTCATACTATATTTCATTCCAGATAACATTAAAAAAAAGAAGCAGGGTTTCGAAACCTTTTCATGACATGTTTAATGATGAAACGTGATAATCATCTTGTCTATTAGACAAGTCCGTCCGTCTGTGGTGCTGTTTCAGCGGCCAAACCGTAAGAGATAGATAAAGAGAATATTTAAGTTATAAGTTAAGAATAGTCTGATAAGACTACAAACCGGATTTGAGTAACGTAGCACTTCCGGTTTTCGAGAAATCACGAATTTCAAACGAAACCACACAAAATCTCCGAAGTTCTCAATTAATTAAATACATTTTTTTTTTAAATGTTTTAAAGGTTTTGGTGAACATTTGGTTCACTGGTTTGCTAGTTACCTATATTAAGTATTACCAGCTTAGATTAAAAGGGAAGATACGGTACCAGTGTTGCCAACTCTATGTCTTTTTACGTACATCTACGTATTTTAGGCCTTTACTGCTAACCTACTAACTTCAGTCCCAAAATCTACGTATTTTCTTTTAATTTGTACAAATTTGCAAAATAACATAACACAGTAGAATAGGGAAGCATATTTTCCGTTAACTATACAAATGTTTATTTCTTATAGTTTTTGGTATGAGGAACTGAAATACATTGATTTCACTTCATAAATTCAGAATGACGTCACAAAATTTATAAACAACTAAACGTTATTGTTGTGTTACTATGGTTTCTTTCGTCGGACTAAAATATATCTAAAGACTCTTATATCTTGTAGAAGAGTTTCCGTTTATTGGTTTTGTTGACTAAATTAATGCTGGACGCCGAATTTGTAAAAGCAGAAACGACAAAGTTCTCTTACTTAGTAGGTACATTAATAAACTTAAAAAAAAAATATTTTTAAACTTAAAATATTATTGAATCAGTACTTACACCGAAGTGATCTATGCAAAAAGAAATGACTTTTAGTCAATAAAGTTACAGGATTTAGCAAGTTTTAAACATGTGTTCATGTGTAGATATGTTTATTTTTCTGGGCAATTTAAACCACAACTTTTCTGGAGTCTTTAACGTTGTGTTTCTACATTCTCGCATAATACAATCATGATAATTACTGCAATACATTTTTTTCGGTCTAATATAACAATTATTAACCATTTAAAACATATTTTCAAAAAGTGTCAACTAGCCTATTTGATAACAGTGTATTCTTGTCATTCTTTATACAGAATGAAAAGGAGAGACTGATGTTAAATTTAGTGCTAAGTTTAGAGAATTATGCCAAATTGACACCTAGCAGCGTCTGTGTCTGATGGTAAATGTCTACCACAGCATGGTAAATGCTGCCAAATTGGCAGTGCCAATGTAGCGTCTTCTCCAAGAATTCTATGTTCTATGTCCTTTTTTTAAATAAATTGTATAACAAAATACTCGTTTTAACGAACTAGCTTCTCTCAAAAAAAAAATACGTAGATCTACGAACTTTTCATATGCAATTTTTACTAATTCTACGTAATTTTGTCATCGGGCCTACGCCTTTTTCAAAATCCGAGTTGGCAACACTGTGCGCCAGTACGCCGCTAGTCCTTGAAGTGAGAAGTCGCGCGCGCGCATCCCGTCTGCTTGACTGTTATTGCTTTCATTCACCGCTTTTCAAATAAGTTTTTGTTGATAGATACGTAAAAAATTGATTGTAATACTTATTAGGCTTTTGAGCAGAAACCATTAAAAAATAAGAAATGTGGCGTGAGCTAATGTAGGTATTTTGCAGTTTTGTTATAGTATGAGTAAAAATGCCGAATTTTATATATCGATTATTTAATCGATTATAATTCGAGTTCAAAGACAGAGGAATGATAAAACTAAAGTTACTTGATTTTTTACTGTAATCATAATATAATTGAAGTTATACTTCTTTAGGCGCGTTATAAAAAAATTATGAGGGTGAAATTTTAAGATGCGCGCGCATCTGTAACACAAAAAATTAACACCATGAAGTTGGTCGCTTTAGCGACCAACTTCATGTGCCGCGCTGCCATTACCGCGTCGCCCGCCGTACCGTACGCATGCGCGACCACTCGCGGTCCTAGCGCGGGAAACACGTACAACAAACATCGGGAAAAGTTACGAGTTTTGAATTTAGAACAGAGACTGTTTTCATATCTTATATATATATAAATGAAACCCGTTTTCCGTTGTCACGACATAACATGAAAACGGCTTGACCGATTTGGCTGTTTTTTTTTTGTAGTTTTCTAATACTCTGTACAAGGTTCTTACGGA